TCGTCATAAGAGAGATCGTTGTATAAACTGTAAAACTTATAAATGGTTACTTTATAATTAGGCTTCGAGTCTAATTATAAGGTAACTATTTAGTAAATAAATAAAGTAAATCAGAACCGGCTGCTGTAGAAATTGATTTAAGCATTTTGACTGCTTTGTTGTTTGTATGGTAAAGTTTGCATGGAAGCCGTCTAATGAATCATGAAGCAGTTTATTTTCTTTTTAGAAATTAAGAAGTCAATGACCGTTTAAAAACTAGTTTCTTAGTACGTCCCAGAAACAGCTGACTGAGGGATTCAAACACTATTTTTTTCAAAATCTTTGTGATTAAATAAATCCGACATTTTACCTAGACATATAATTTTTTTATCATATAATAAACTCGAACCATTCCACGGGTTATAAAACTTTTTGTAGGTACATACTTAACTCACACTGATGCCTAATCTTGCCCGAATCTGTTGATACATCACTGTTCTATCGAATCGCACAGTATCCACAGTAGTCGCTGTAGAAGGACGATCTCTTGATTTATTATAGGCGAGTTAGTTTCTTAAACGTTTAAACTCATTTAACCAGTTGTACACTATGACGCCGGATTCTTGTTGAGGAAATTTTTGATAAATCATGTAGTAAAAATATTCCGAAATCGACTGGCCTGTTTTAAAAACTTCCAGTGACCCCTGCAATAAAAAAATATAATACCAGTACCGCACACAGGTTCTATGATCATTACTTAGTGTAGAATTTTTTGTCATTACTTTGTCCTTGGTTATTTCCTTTTAACTACATGGGTGAAGAAAGCCGACGGCAACAGTACCTTATTAACATTAGAATTAATGTAGTTATCTAATAACTGATGTAAAGTTATATTTGTATATGCAGGTTTTCTATCCGAAGATGAATGTCGGACGCGCACGGGTACCGAAATGTGCACGCTGTCGAAACCACGGCCTTATTTCAAGCCTTAGAGGTCACAAGAAAGCCTGCGCCTACAGGCACTGCCAGTGCCCAAAATGCGGTCTCATCAAGGAACGGCAACGTATTATGGCAGCACAGGTAATGCAACTTATTTATTTAATATTACTCATGCGAATTAACATGGCACCTGATAGGCTTTTTTGTGCTTTTTTCTTTCCGCTTCCAAAAAATTTATAAATACTAATAAGATTCTAAAAAATGAATATTCCGTTAATTTATGATATAACAAAGGTACGACCTGCCTATGATATCCATCATGATATGATATGATTTTAACAAAAAATAATGATTCGAAATTTTCGAACTTTCGTTCAAGAACAATTAGAATTGGCTTACAGATGTCATGTTAATTCGTACGAGTTATATCTTATACTTACATGAGACGCTTGGAGTAGGTATCTTCCGTAAGATTTGCACCGACCCTATATTTCGTATCGACCAGGAAACTGTTAACTGATATAAATTCCATACGTCGCTTCAGTTGATTTGATTTGTGTCCGGATCGAGTTTTATTTACGTTAGCAATGAACCCCGTCTCACTAGGGACCATCGGGTAGCCCCATGACACTCCCGGGTGGACCGCTCACCGCAAACACAAACATTCATTGTTTATCATTGATTTTCCGCTAAATTAATTTAACAGCTTAACATTACCATCGCAATTTTAGGGGATACTTTGCTTTTCGAAAGATATTATTATTAAAATAATAGTTTAATTAATGGATTTACAAAAACAAATATGATTCCTTGAACATTATTTCTGTTTTATTATGGAATACTTCAAAAAGGAGGTTCTATAATCGTTATCATCATGTTTTTTTCATAATAAATACTTATTTTCTTATTTTATTTTCAATTCAAAAAAGTTTCTCTTTTTAGGAGGTAAAATAATATTTTCGCTGTGTTCAGAATACACTGCAACGCCAAAAGACCTATGTCATAGATACACTTAAACCTTATGTAAATCCATATTTCATTTGAGAATAGGATGGACGATTTACAACAAAGCTTATTGTTTTCTTTTCTACTATATCTGATATGGAATTGAAGAAAAATATTAAAACCGGGATGTGATCGGTGGGATGGGACACACGATGCATTACTGTGTACACGATCGATGGCTCATCCGGCGTCTCCGTAAACACGTGCCACTTGTTCAAATAAACCAGACGCCCGCGCCGCATTAGCCCGTCTCGATTTCACTACATTAAGACACATTAACGCCTCTAAATTGCATGTTATTTTGGAATTAGGTGTATCCCGCATTTTTGGGCACACATTTGTGACCGGCGAAGTAACTTTTCTTATTAAAAGTTTCTTAAATAGATTTCGAAATTTGCTTTACGATTATATCTTACTTACAAAGCATTTTTCAGTTTATATATATATATATATATATATAAACACTATTAACGAATATATGACCTTCGTAGATCAGTGACTCCCATGCTGGATTACCGCTATGTCTGAGGTTTAAGGATAGATTCCCGGTCGGTTCAATATAGAAAATTAACTTTCTTATATTGTTTCGGGTTTGGGCGTTGTTATACTGTCGTTTGTTTCAGATTTGCATAAAACAAGTGTTATAGTTATTCAACTTGGAATCGGAGCAATGTACGTGATATTGTGTAATAATAATTAAATTGAATCTGTTCTAATTCACAACTCGTCTATTCTGGTTGGTCTAGCCATACCCTTTTATTGCAGTGGAAGTGCACCTTAAGCCTTAAATGAGAATTCTCCAACCACATGGACTTTCCCCGAAGGATAAAGGTCAAATCATGGTTGGCCTACCTGATGAAAGTCGCCTCAGAGTATCCTCAGTAGCCCGGGTATCTGAGAGAACTACATTCGACTAAGCCTCACAAGTCTAGCTGTATATACATTATAATGGATTTTCCGTAATCCTCATGTTTTAGTGAAATCCTTTTAAGAACTCTTTTCTTTGATTTGATAGCAATTTGTTATCGATTATTCTCAAAGCGTGTTATCAAACTCCAATCGGGTGCGAGAGGCATAATTTAAGCTTTCTTTACGAATACAGCTCTATCTGGGGTGCGACCGTTTATCTCTCTAGCCAGAATCTAAGCGATATTATGACGATATTTCGTTTCATGCACTTTAGTAACGAAGAGCGAATGATAAAGAATGATGATAATGCATTTAACAGCCATGTTACCAACCTAGTGATTTATCACAAATTTGTTCACCAAAAGACATGTTAAAGTAGTAAAAATAAACAAAATATAGCCATAGTATTGCTAAGATGTCGTATTCTATGACTGGAGTGCATGACACGTGACCTTCTAAATGTGATTTTAAAAATAAAATAGTAGAATCTATCGTTTACAAGGTGGCATTAAAAAGGCAGCAAGCAGCCGAAGATAAAATAGCTTTACATTTGGCGTCTGTTGAGACCGGGACGCCCTTGGAATCCCTACCACCGGGCCGGATCTACGGGATGAGGGTTACCCGACCTTGTCCTAGTCCAGGACCAGAGCCCGACTCAGCTCTCGATGACCAAACTGTAAGTTTACTTTTCTATACGATTGTTAAGAATTCCTAGATTATCAAATAAAGGTATTATAATTTTTTCAAAGTTACCAGAAGTTAAAAATATTAGTTGATAACTTTTGCTATTTACTTAATTAAAACTACATTATCAGCCTACTAATGGCCCAGTCAATTACTCGGTCACAGATCTTCCATATGGGTAGAATACATAGTCAGAATGGATTCAAACCCACCATATGCAGACATCTTAAAGTCGTCGTTATCATAGAAAGTGAACGATTCCAATGTGTCAGAATCACTTATTTGTATGACCGCATGCTCACAGAGTTCAGTGAGATTATTTCGGTTGTCCTTAACCTTAATGTACGAGTAAAATAAAACCTTAATGTACGAGTAGTTAGGTACTGTACGCCGCACGAAAGTAAACCCAAGGATTCATAGGTTTCTTCTACCTGAATATATTGATCTCTTTTCACTTTTGTTTGTAGTTTTTTGCGCAGGGTTTACTTTCAAATCAGGTACAGCATTTTCTTTTTTATACTCACAAACCTTCCACCTTCTATTTCTTTAAATTCGCAGAAATTGCCAAACTTAGACCATATTTTATGAAAGGAATGATAAAAACTATACTTAAAGAAAAAGAAACAACAAAAATATTAGAAAAAAGTCTTTTATTGAAGGATGATTGCATGGGTGATTTTGATTAATAGAAATAAAAAATATAGAAAAAAATACGCTTCATGTATTTCATGAAAAACAGCAATTTCATAGGCAAAGACCTAATATTATGTACAATATTTTTTTTTAATAATACCTAGGTAGGTATTATTAAAAAAATATATATGCATATGGTATGCACGTTGAGTCTTTGGTCCCGGCTGCATTTGCAGTCGTTAATACTCTACAGTCGTCATTGGGTCAGCGTGGTGACCATGGGCCATCCTCTTTATCCTCTTACCCTTTGACCTTTAATGTCTACAAATAAAAGTGAAGAATTATTTGATTAAGTTTTCAAAGTTTATTTACATTTAAGATTTCGAGTTCTATAGAGTCAGATATATGACAATATGAGTTACTTTACGAGGTCTTTATGGTAATATTGAATGGATCTTATAATATAAACTAATTTATTTAAGTATTTTTTTACATGCAGCCCATACATATTGATAGTGAGACAAGCGATTCTCAGCCTGATTGCTGCAGCGCCTCGCCAGACTCGGCTGGAAACTCTACGGCCAATAGGGCACGGTAAATGTTTTTTTCGATAATACATAAATATGTAGGTGCGTCTTTTTAATAAGTAATTTTACGTAATACAGTAATATAATGTAATGCGATTTTTCTAGATATACATATAAAGTAGAACGTATCTCAAATTTTACTAAACTGACAAACAAGTATATTTTTTCGACTTCGATAAGTTTATGGTTTTGATTTTAATGATACAATTGTTTATCAGCGAGGATACTGCAGAAGAGAGTGCTGTCAGTTCAGCGGGATTGGAAATGCTCCGCAAACTGTTCCCTGGCAAGAAACGATCGGTTCTGGAACTAGTCTTGCGACGATGTAATCATGACCTGCTTCGTGCCGTTGAACACTTTAATGCCACACATGTGAGATAAATATTTTATGAATTTCTCTAAACAAAAAGAATTTATAAGCATTGAATTGGAGATAAAAAATTCATATCTTGTTTCATTTATTCTTAGGCTCAAGATAAAGCTGGGGCTAGTTCCAGTGCAAGCTTCGAAATGTCAGTCTCAAGCTCCGAAGAGGTCGAGTCGCGTTGGTCAGCTTTCCGCCCCGTAGGTCCTAGGGGACCTCTCCTGCCAACGCTTGTTATGGGTCGAGTGTGTGGCTCTGATTGGCTAGTTCCACTGCCAGCATTACCGGCTCTATCTACACCTCTGCTTCTTCCTCTACAACATCCACACCAACCACCAGCACCATGTAATCCATGCACACCGGACTGCAGGCAGTGCAATATTCATCATTAAACCATAAATCTTATCTATAAGTGGAAAAATAAATTATAAATGTATCATAATAGCTCATTGTAAATGTATCGAGTACGTTAGCAAATTGATAGATTACTTTTGTTACTTGTGTATCTGTCGCAGTGGCGGATTAACCTCATGTGAGGCAAGGGATGGCAATAGGCCTGGATCGACAACTTTTTTCAACTTTATTATGTTTTTATGACTTAGGCGGATGACTTCAGCCATTTGAAGATCGAAATCGTAATAAATATACTCAAACAATTGCACTCAAATACTTTGCTTAATCTCATTTTCGATTGATAGTGCCGTGGTCGTCTGCATCGCGGTATATCTTATCTTTCTGTAATACAGATGACGACTGGGTAAACTATTTAGTCCGTTAGTCAGACAATAGAAAAATATTAGATATGTATTTTTTTTTACTTCGATTTAACAAGAAATAGCTTAGGTAACGGGCTTAATGCCTTGAGAAGGAGGAGGTTGAGGAGTGCGTACGCGCTACGTCACAGTATTATAGATAACGTACGAAAGCGTGCCGTTATGTGACATTTTAACTTAACGTATCGTCGTAATTTTGATGATTACAAAACAAATACGTATTCAATATTTTTCAACAATGTACCTGACGGGCAAACAAACATAAATTAGTTGTCAACCCTATTGTATCAGTATTAAGAATTTACTATGAAAGTATAAGCTTAACCCACTTGTGTAATTGGTGTGTACGTTAGCATCCTGCATTGGATCATACGGACCATCAACACCTAGTCACGAAAAAACTGTTTCTTTTTGTTCAGTCCTGTAACTGTATCGATTACAGATCGTAACAACGATTTTTTGAATTTAATTTAACATCATCCACTATGGTATTCACTTTGTTTTTCTTTACCTACCAATAAAGGATTAAAAGTTATATAAAGCATCCTCGATGAATTGACAGTTAATCAGTTGGCTGACCTTTGTTCAGTCGCATTGTAGAACGATGCATTCAGCTACTATAAGTTACGGTAGCTTATCGAAGGTCAGTTAATTGAATGGCCCGATTCTATTAAATGGATAGCCGCAAAATGATTAGACCACTTGGATGCGACAAATCTAGTTCCTATGTGATAATTTAATGCCAAATTGTTATCGTAAGTGTGCTTTTTATTTGTACAGTAAATGTTTTAAAATAAATCTCATGTTTTATTGTTTTCCATTTTTTATAAATAAATAAGTCGATAAATTTGATATAAAAATTGTCAAAATTTTAATTAAATTTGATATATTTGGAAGCTTAATGGTCTGCATATGACATTTTTATGGAAGGTGTCATTCGAATTCCTAGCAGGTGACTCTAATGAAGTATATAAACAAAGGGAGATGTGTTAGGGCAAGAGGGGGATTATTATTATGTCGAGAACTGCGTGTTCTGATTTTGTTAAGTTTATTGAACTATTAGAAAATCGGCTCTGATTACTTATTTGATTTATAAGGTTAATCATGTAAATTAATAATGGATCCTTTTTGTAATATTTTTTGAGACGCATTTGGTATTAGAAAAACGTAAATATAATTGATGAACAAACGAACTTACCAAGAAAGGTTCGATCAAAATTATCTGAGCAGCTCAATTCTTTGCGATTTATGGTTCTCATATTGTAGTAGCGCCTCATAGAAAAATCACGGTAATGCAATTTAGACTAAGTATTTTTTTTGTACTGGTATCACCGATAATTTTGGTGTTCTAGTCTTACCCCAGTCATTATACGTCGATTTGAATCATTTATGTTTATAAATTGTTTGGTTGAATGAATGTATTTAAATCGTGTAATGGTCTCCTACGTGAAGTTGACAGTATTGTGGTGACACAAAGTGTCAATAGAGTTAAGAAGAAGAGCATGTGTATATTTTAGATACGGCACTACTCGGTGGCGAAGTGGATAAGTGCCGCGGCCCGCGATCGTTACCGTTGAGCAACTTTCGCAAGAGTCGTTCACAGGATGGGTGACTAAAAAATTATTATCTCGAGCTACTCCGTGCTTCGGAAGCCACGTTAAGCTGTTGGTCCCGGCTGCATTTGCAGTCGTTAATACCCTCTAATCCGCATTGGGCCAGCGTGGAGGGTCATGGCCCATCCTCCTTAACCATCCATAAGGAAGGCCTGAGCCCCTGCAGTGAGGACGTAAAGGGGCCGATGATGATGATATTTTAGACTAAAGGGAGGGGGTTAAAGTCTAAATATTTATGTAGATTAAGTTTATTTTATTTTTCATTTTTGTTACAATGGTGCCAAACAAAACAAAGGTTTTTATTATCAAATAGGGAGGGTGTTTATAAATCGCTTCGAATGAAGCTGCTCCCATAATTTTGATCGAAGTTCACTTGGTAAGTCCATTTGATCATCAATTATGTTTCGCAGCTTCATTCTTTGATATTTATGGTTCACATATTGTAGGACGTTCAGAGGTATAAAATATGAAACCAATTACACAACTGACAAGGTAACAAACGAATAATAGGTACGAGTAGTAAACTAATTAGTGTTACAATTTAGTGTACATTATTAACATACCATTTGTTTGTAAATGAAATTGTTTGTTATTTTTACTTTATAACTTTTCTACAAGCTTTACATAGTGAATCAAAGTTACATAATACATGTTCTTGATTTTTCTATTTTAGATTATTGTGAAAAACACCAAAGCCTCGCTCCATCTGCCAAAGGTAAAATGGGCATTTTGTTCGGATCTGTGACCCTCGGTGGTCCTGTGCACCACTAACGAAACTAGTCGGAGTATGTAAAAGACCTCAATACTACCCAATGAAATGAGTCGCAACCTCCAAAAATATATCTATTTTCTTCCAATAGTATAAAATGCTTACAAAAATGCACAATATCTCACTAAACCATCCTAAACATGGTTAACTACCTACATTATACTTATGAGAGTTAGGTAAGTATGTCAATGTTCTCATTGTATAACAGTAAAACACTGTCCTATTTTCATATTTTTTTTCAACTATATCTGTGTCAATCGTAACATCGTCTAAAAGCTTTGCTGGGGCATCCATTCCTTCTTGATTTCTTGCCCACGATAAAAAGAATACCACTCACGCCACATGCACGCAATTTTCAACTACGGCGACCCTGTATGCAGGAACAATAACCCACCGCGTTATGTGAAAGAGATAGGGAGCCTCCAAACTCTGTATTGTTATGTGGTTTGCGCCTGATGAGCGATTAGGAAAAATATTACGGTTTGCGTTGTAGCGCATAACCCTTTTCCGCCATACATTTGGATCAAAATAAAAACATTCTGTGAATTGTTAATCCAAAACCTTTTAAAAGGTTTTGGATTAACAATGTCAATCCAAAACCTTTAAAAGGTTTTGGATAACCCCATGTCAATACTGGTCGCGAACTTTACCAGTACCGGGTCAGAAATGCCCAATGACCTTTCTTAATAGTGGTGTAAGCTATGTTTATTCCGCTATAGTAAAATAAGGATATTTATAATTAATAAATAATGAGTCGCAAGTAGGTATGTCTGCCAAATGTTGATGTTTTATTTATATAGATACTGTGGTTATTACCACGCGAAAGTGTCGATAGTGGATCCCATGCTTGCTTTAGCACTTCCGGTGCCTTCGGAGGCGTGATTGCTATGGTTCACCTTTAATGGAATTGAAAACCATTCGACAAAAAGAAAGGATATAAAGAAATTGACATTTATTTAAAGAAGCAGTAATTTTACAAATAAGGTAGGTTTTTAAACGTAACAGACACACACAGAAATAGTTAAGTTACTTTCGCATTTCTAATATTAGTATAGAATAAGTTACACAATTTACACAATTACACAATAATAAATTTTGAATGACTAGTGAATAATACAAACTTATTATTTTAACCTTAAACTAAAATACTCTTTGCTAAAATCTTTGACACAAACAATACCGCGATTTAGTACCTTTATACTTAATGTCATCTAGTACTTACAGTCGACGCCGGAAAGCAAACACGTAGTAACCTGCAAAACCACAATGGATATTTAGAGTGGAAAATCTTTATATTTTTCCAAAAAAAAAATACCTTATTTCCGTATCAATTGACTAAGGAACATCTTATTTGTTACCTGTATAAGAATTTATTATCGAAAAAAATAAAAGTTTTTCTCCTCTGAGTAAGAATTTTCGTTTTGCGGGTTACTACGTGTTTGCTTTCCAGCGTCAATATGAATACACAATGGTTGCTACCACAGGTTGCTACGGTAACATTTTGACATCCCATAAAAACTTCTACTCCCATTTTCAACCCTTTCAGATGTGCGTTTCGGTATAAAATATAAGTATTCCCAGGATTTTAACTACTCAAATACCATTTTTTTATCGATATGGGTCCAAAAACAAATAAGTTTCCATATACAAACGTTTTCATCCTTTTAATCCCCACCCCCATCGTAGGGTAGAATTTCCGAAAATACATATGTTCTCAGTACTTCTTCTTCTAAAAGTGCCTCTCCAACTAGTGAAGGTTCGCCATCAGCTAAGGATCCCTAGTCTCCGCGGGTCAGAACAGTTCGGCTGCGCTATTCCCCTATTCCCGTCTACTGATATTACAGAGCAAAGATTTCCTCTTTCCAATGCTTCTCTTCTCAAGAATTTTGCTCATCATAATAAGTTGTAGAAGTTCGTTGAAAAATGGAAGGATAGCACACGTCTTTAAGTCAACATTTTGAAAGCTTCCATGTGCCTTTTAGGATCTTTAACAGCCCAAGCCTCACAGTAGTTTATTAGAAGGGGCGCCCCTTATCTCCAGAGCCCTACCCTAACGGCGCTACTGGTGGCAATTTATTATCGACGCCATCTATAGTCTGTGCTTAAGATGTTTTCTGTTGCACATGCACATGTGCATTGTAATAATAAAATATATAAAACGATAGAATTAACTCCGTTCCGGCTGGTTGCTTACATCATATTTTGCTGACATGAATTTATTCAATTCAGAGTTGTTCCATAATGTGAATAAAGTAATAATTTGTTATTTTATATTATCACAAGTAATTAACTAAATATTTCTTAATAATACTGTGCAGTAATTAAGTATACTTTTTATATTTTAGATAAACAAAATAATCTCTAAGATAACACAACAGTTAAAAGTTAGTGTTAATTTTAACGATTACACTAACGTTTGTATGTACTTTGATTATTTTTAATCAGACTTGGACGTTTCGTTTTGAAAATGTGAAAAATGCAAATTTTAGCGTAAATTTACACTGTCGTTTAACCTTGTTTATTAATAGCACTGTACGTGTATATGAATGGCAGTGATTGTCGCACTTTAGAGGTAAGAACACTCAAATAAAATCCTTGTTAGGTCGATGATAACAATCATTTTTGTATTTCCATAAGGTATATTATCGAAGAATATCAAAGACATCAATATCAAAGGTATAAAGTTTATTTATAGTATAAACTATAATAAAAAATATGTAAGTTACTTGTGTTAGATAAAATAGAGATAGATTTACCTACTACCTATATCACTCGGTGGAAGTTGCGGGCAAATAAGTTTTAAAAGTTTAAAAAACTGTTTCTAAATAATTAGGAAACAATTCCGCTCATAAATATAGATATTTATTCATAATATTTAATTACGTCGCTTTTACCTAACGTTGTACAAAGTAAACTAATTCAAAAGGTACCTGCTTAAGTGGTTTGTGGAAATAAAACTCCCCGTTTGCATATTCTTGATATTAACATTCCTAAGCTGAATAGTGTACATGAACTTGACAGCAGTGCACAACCCGATGCTAACTTCATACCGTAATACCGGTTCAGTGACATCACAAACAACACTTCAAGCTTATCAGACTATAGAAGAGAAGTGTGGCCAGTGGCCAGTTACTACGCACATTATACAGTTGTACATCGTTACATTATAATTTATAATCTATGCACTTTATTTATTTGCCTTTACAACTTTTGTTTTAAAAATGTATTGCATTTTAACAACTATCGTGGCCCTACTTTACATGTTATTTGATGTCAACTACTACCTGCGAGTTGTCTTCACTATATTAATAGGTAGAATATTCCAAAAGAAATATGGTGTGCGTGATACTACAACAATCTACGGTAAGTTCTATTTTAATAATATTTAATTAAGTATTTATTCAAACACAGCTGAAATAAATTAAGCTTGTTTTAAGAATTTTTTTAGTTCTTAAAATAAGCTTAATTTAGGAACTACAAACATATTCGATTTAAGTCAACTATGGCTGACTGTGGTGAAAAATAACTCGATGATGGGACTTTTAATCCAATCTATAATGAGAATGATTTTGAATATTTGAATGTTAATAATTAATTAAAAATGATTAAATATAATATATATAGCTAGAACTTCCTTTCCATTAATGAACCTAGTCCAACAAGTTAAAGCACGATAATTATAAATTTAAGCCTTTCTTACATAGCCACTCAGGTTCGTCGGGATTGATGATTTTTATAAAACATCGTTCAAAGATAAATAAGGATTACATTTTATAAATAAAAAACCTAATAACAACAAGCTTGTTTATTATATATTATGTAATGTATTTATTTATATTTCAATGTAGTAAAATGGTGGGCTAGAAACTTTTTTGGGTATTTTGCTTTTAAAATTATTACTATCTTTTATTTTTAGATACAGTAATCTCATTTGATCAATGATTATGAAAGTGTTTAAAACATATTTTTGATGATTAGTCATATTGCATTAAGAATTGAGTTTTTTATGTATTTTTCTGGACAACCCTTTCACTTGATATCGAATTTCCGTATTACCCATATCATAACGTTGTACGAATAATTACTAGGTTGCTATAAAGGGTCAGTCCTAAAATTTATGTATATAATTTGATATAAAAAATCAGTGTCCATTGTTATATTGTAAACTAAAAAACGTTAATAGGTTGAAAATAATTGTTTTAAAATACAGTCAACTAGTCTTAAAACTGGTCTTATACTCGAATCTATAACGAATAGAAGTAATTTCTTGAGAAAATTTATATTTATAAAACTAGCTATCACCAGCAGCTTCGCCCGCGTGGTCCCTAGGGAAATGTTTTGTGGGATAAAAAGTATCCTATTATCTAAGTCAGCTAATTCCCTATCTGTATACTAAATTTCATCAAAATCCATTCAGTACTTTCGGCGTGATTGACGGACAAATATCCAAACAAAGAAACTCTCACATTTATAATATTAATAGGAAATAAAATAATAGGGCTCTTGCGTTGTTGACTGACTGACAGACAGACAACGTACAGCCGAAACAACTGAGCGTAGAAAGCTGAAATTTGAAATGAAGATTCCTTTGGGAGTGTAGAGGAGCACTAAGAGAGGGTTTTTTAAAATTCCATCCCGAATGGGCTAAATTAGGGAATGAAATTTTCTATGAAACTTCGTTACTACAAGTGCTAGGAGTTTTAAATTTTGCATGCGGGTTCTATTTAGGACGTTAAACCTAGACCAGGTGGTCGGAGTCGTGGGCAAAAGCTAGTGTGATATAATGTTAGATGACTTTTTGATTGGTTCAGAATCAAAGATGATCCAACGGGTCCTCGATACAAGTGCAGACCTTGTATAAAGGGATGTGCACAAACGGTTATACACAGTATTACTTTATAAAATCACGTTTGTTATATAGCAATTTCATCTGTCCAGATATCACGGTTCATGAGTTTGGTAAAAGACAGACGGATTACTAAGATTACTAAGATGGAACGCTCTACCTATAGATATTAGACGCGCGCAATCACGGAATTAATATAATTAACTGATAAAGCAACATTTCCTCAAGTCGGACTATTTTTCCTGAACTTGCACTCTTACTGCTACTCTATCATCGTATATTTTATTTATTTATTTAAGATTATGCATTTGTGTTTATAAGTATTCTCATGTGTTGTTACTCCTAATGCACCAACCCGCAGTTAATTTCCGTTTCCTTTAGCCTAGGGTCGCTTGGTAGAGATTGCTACCTTAGCAATAAGGCCGCCTTTTGTGTTACTGTGTATAGTATAATATACTTTTTACAAAAGTTTCATAGTGCAATAATGAATATTAATTTATTCATTCATACTATTACTGACACTCATATTATACTATTACTGATCCTTTTCTCAAATTTTCTCAAATAATTACTTCTCTGGGCTATATACGAGTGTTAGTAAATCAAAAAATGAGTAAAGTAGCATAAGTTATTAGATATATTACCTATATATTTTCCAAATAGAGTCCATTTACATCAAAACAACGCTGCATCCGATGGTACCACCTCAGTGTACCACTGAGAAATGCGGTTTTAGGGGCCGTTTCATACGCAATCAGTGCTTCCTTGGCGTTTATTAAACGTTTTCCTCGAAGTTTTTCTTTTATTTTTGAGAATAAATAAAAATAGCAACTAAAATACCAATTGTTTTTGATTAGAAATGGCGAGTTCTAAAAACTTTCAGTCTTGCCCATATAAAGTAGTGAAGTAAAACCTATGCCAGTTGCTTCACACATTTAGAATACTGCTTCATTTCTCATTAAATTACATAAACATGATATGTCTGAAAAACTAAAATATGTATTATTTTCCGTGACAACAAATAAATCATTTTACTGTTAAATACCTATTGACTGTTAAATTAACTACACTTTTTGAAGTTTATGAACTTAATTACTTACACTGAATAAAACATATTTTAATTCTAGTAATACAAATTTTCTATATTTTATGTAAATAAGATTTTTTCCTAGTTTCTTTGTTAATACCTATTCAGATGTTTTTGATGTTAAACAGTTAGTTTATTCATTTACTATTTTATAAAGTTTCTGACACCTATAAATATCGATAGGTTAATAATATGGTTGGTCATGGCGGCATACGCTCCCTGGGGGCCAATTCTACTAAATAAATTTTGTTTAAATCGAATCGAAAACGGATCGAAACCGAACGAAACTACAGTTTTAATGGTTTTCCTATTCTACAAAGTGACATACGATACAATTCCAGTTCTATTTTAGCTGGATCGAATCAAAAACGGATCGAAACCGAGCGAAACTACATTTTTTAATGGTTTTCCTATTCTACAAAGTGACATACGATACAATTCCAGTTCTATTTTAGCTGGACTTTCGCTGTAGTGTAGTTTCGCTCGGTTTCGATCCGTTTTTGATTCGATTTAAACAAAATTTATTAAGTAGAATTGGCCCCCTGAAGTCAAGTGAAACTTATGTGTATTCATAAGTTGTCATAAGTATTCACTTGTTGATACCTCGATACAGTGAATATATTGATTATATTAGCATACAATACATTGTCAGAACTATACAATACGTTGTGAAAAATCCAAAAGAACATGGCGGATGATTTGTGATGTTCTAGGTAAAAATTGTTGCTTCAGAGGTAGAACTAATTCAGTCAGTATTTGGAGACCTAAATTCTGTACCAAGCAAAGGTAATAATTGGTTATATGAATGCGGGATATTAGCCCCTAAAAGTGTCCAAGCAGCAGCAATTAATGAAAAAATTATAGCGAAAATTGTTGCGGATGAAGTTTTTTATAAATATTCTTTTAGTAATGTCGTTACCCAGGAAGATGTTACAAATTACCTGTTTGAATTTTCACATTTACTTACGATAAGTGGTGGGTATACCACTCGCAAACAACAGCTAGTTAATATTTAATTATTAATATACCTATAGGTATATATTTTAAAGATATTTGATAGCAAGAAAAAAATTGTGCAACGATTAGGAAATTATCCTTGTATATATTTATTATTTACTTTAAAACACAAAAGGGGGACTTAATGCTTAGTTATTCTCTATTAGTCAACCTGAACAGATGTTGGATACCAGTTATAAGGCGATAAGAATAAAAAAGCAATAAATCATATTATTTTATAAATCTTTACTACAAAGAGTTAAGATTTGATTATTTATTTGCTATGAATAGGCTTCATAACTACTGGATCATCTTAGGTGAGAGGGAACGGCTAGAAACAATATATTCATAGAAATATACTTGAGAATATTTTAGGCAACTACAGTGAGGCCACTTAAGCATTCTTCGTTTTATAATTATCTTTTGAATAATTACATTTCAGGCTTCTGCACAACGCAAGATGTCGACATCTTCTTGAGTCATATGAATAACGCCAGATATGTTAGAGAGTTAGACTTCGCAAGGTTTCACTTTTATGACCGTACAGGCATCTACGCTAATATAAAGGCTGTGGATGGGCATGCTCTTCAGGGTGCCTCAAGCATTCGGTATAGGAGGACTATACCAATATTCACCGCCTACAAGGTTGAGACGAAGGTCAGTACTTTTTTCTGAAGTTATTTTTCTATACTAATATTATAAAGAGGTAAAGTTTCTAACTTCGCTGAATCTTTTACCTGGAAAATCATCGGAAAAACTGAGCGCTTAGTGTAATTTTTTTTTATACATTTAAGTTTATTACGTGACGTGACGTGTACGTTCACCGTCGTCCAATAGTGAGCGCGTAAAAGATAGAAAAACAGTGAAAATTCGGAATGAAATAAAACACAGGGGTGTCAATATGAAAACAGCAAATCTACTGATAAAATAGAAGAGTTGGTAACATTGATTTTCATCTACAATGTGAAGACACACAATCATAATATATTATTTTCTCTATAATAAAAGAGTACAATTATTTTTGATCAATTTTGCATTAACAATGTAATTTTTATCATAATCGAAAGTTTAAATATTCGTAAAAATATTTCTTTCGGCTATTTGCTTCAGGCATTGATGAACTACGCTTTGTATCCGTGAGACTTGTTGGGGTAGCTCAGTGGTTAGAGCAGTCCCCCCGATTGCAAAAGTTCATGCGTTCGAGTCCCATCTCAGTGTCAGGGACAAAGTGTATTTATTAAATATTTTTCAATAAGAATAAAAGAGTACAATTACACGAAATAAAAAAAAAAGCTGAACTAATGATGTTGCCTTGTATTTGTTTGCATTGAATAGGCTCCGAAACTACTAGACTGATTTTAAAAATTCGTTTAGGGGCCGTCCAATAATAAAACCTCTTTCTATATTAATCAGACACTGGCATCATTTCGTATACCTTTTTTGAATGTATATTACATTGTTTATTGTTACACTGTTTATTGTTTTATGTCACTCTTTTTTCTTTTTTTTTCACTCTCTTTTTTACTCTCGTCTGACTTTTATCTATTTCAACGTGAAATATATTAAATTCTCCAATCTACTGTGACTCTTAATTCCTCCATTTTAAGAAAAAATCACGAAAGATCAAGTGGGGGAGGGGGGTGTAGTAATATATCACGTGTATTTATTATTCCTCAAATGCGCGATTACTAAACTAAAAAGCGGCGTCAAAAATTTTGATTTTTTTGTAGCTTTCTTAAATACACGTGATTTGGGTTTTCGTTTAAAAAACGTCGCCTTGTATCACTCTCTTTAAGGGGTAGGAGGGGTTAAAAAAATCTGAAAACATATCTCTAACAATCGCGGAATTAAAATGGAATGAGGTCATACGCTTATTAATAATAGATTTTTATTTTCAGTTAATTTACTGGGAAGATACGACACTCTTCATTGAACAAAAGTTCATTACTCTGAATGACGGTTTCGTACGAGCCGTGGTGCTATCCCGCCAAAACCTGATCAACGTCAACGTCGATCGACTTTTCCAGGGCATCCCTGGAGCTGACCAAAAACCGGAATGTCCCGAAGAGGTCAAGCACTGGCTTCAGTCTATAGAAATTTCCAGTGCTAAATTAAGAAAGAAGGATTGATTTAAATAGTTTTTAATTGTTAATAAGTTGAGTAAATTTATTTAAATGATATATTTATTAATAAAGAGGTTTTGGCTGTCATATTTTTTCTCATTCGTTATATCTTGACTGATTTAGTAAGTAAACATTCTATAAAAATGTACCGACAACAACGAAAAAGGGTAAAACGCAAATATCATATTACCAGCACTCTCGCCTGTCACAGCTTCGTGTCAGGTTACTATTTACACGATTTTGTGAATTGGTAATGTGATGCAGCTAATGACAGGTTAAATTGATTATATTTTAAGTAGTTTTAGTTAAAAATGTCAATTTCTAATCTCTGGTTTAAAAAATACGTTACAAGTATGGATAAAACTTATAATTTTGACGACCACCGTAGCCGAATACCGGTCTCAAGGTAGGTATTGCCACCGTTTTGAAATCTGGACAGGTGTAGAATTTTTCTATATTCTCACGGGTCTGGATGTTGTGGTAACTTTATTCCTTGGATTTCTAAAATTTAACTACTAAAACTAACTCGTACTTAATTTGCAATCTGAGCAATCTTAGTGTGTCCCATCCCAATATTAGTCGTAGATTTTAGCATTTCAAATCGAGCCGTTTTTTTGTATATTCTAAACAAAACAGAGACAAGAAGTTTTAGTCGGTAGATAATCCCTTATTAGTTTATGAGGTGAAGAACGAACGCCACGACTCGACCACACACAATACAAACAAATATAGCAGATTGTTTTTGTCTTGATAATTTTGTAACGTACAACTTAATATTTTATAATTTGATTTGATATTTGATGAATAAATTGTTTTCGCACTGACAAATAATTGAGATATGTAGAATAGACTGAATTGGATGTTTTTTTAACATTTAGTTTAATAGATTTAAGTTAATAATAGTTTTCTTTAAAATTGAACTTTTATTGTAATATTCATCAATATTAGGAAAAAAAACACGATATGGAATAACGCATAGTGCACGGCAGCTAAGTGTAAGCATTCCCATTCGGAGCAGTAATGTTTACAAAGATTTATTATTTATTGATAAATTGAAAATATAAAGTTTGACTGTTGATTATTTGTTGATCATTGGTCGGTTGCTTCAGGGCAGGTACTTATGGAATAAACTTTTTTGTAAAAAATATAAGTGTAATAATTTTAGAATTATTTATGAATTCAAATCAATAAATACGATATGACCAAATTATAGAACAGGTGCTTATTGTTGTGCTCTTGTAATGACCAATCTAGTGAATGCTGTATGGAATTATACATATATCAGAGTATTGAACCACTATGTTTTATTACACACTGAAATTAGCCTCTTTGGTAATTACTCAGAAATCCTTTGGCTTGAAGTGGGAGCGGGCTGGTTGTGGAGCACTCCCAGCTGAATCCCAGGTCGTTGGGACCTAGGATCTTGACCCATGTGGGTGTTTAATGGGTATTACATCCGCGTTTTGACTAACCTTCGGGCAGGTCCGAGCGGATGGAGAGTTCCACACACCCCCCTCCGCCTGACAAGTGGCAGGAGTGCATAAAGCATTCTCCTACAAAAAAAAAAAACTTAGAAATTCATTTTATAAAGTATCAAGCTGATTTGGGCGGTTTGCGTCTTTAATAAGCGGTGGCGCTAACCGTGTGTGTCTCGTCTTGTCACGCAAACATAACAAAATATCCATTAGCATTAGTGTTTCCCGTTCTCGATGTTAATGAAAACATTTGTAAATTACTATCCAATGAACTTTTTAAGTTATTTTTAATTATTTATATTTTTGTTTTACAATCTATCTATACTATAATAAAAGTGAACTGATGATATAGGAAGACAACTATTATGAGACGCATTTATAAACGTAACGAACACAAGAAAATGATTTAATTTTTTCTTTCTGTTTGACGGTTTGTCTGTTTGTGCGTTTGAGCACGTTAATCTTCGAAACGGCAGAACTGATTTAAATGAAGTTTTCACTATTGTATTGTGGTACTCTTCCGTTAAAATTTAGTGTTTGTTTTATTTCAATCGGTTCATTAATAACAAGTTATGTTAACTTGAAGTATTGTGTTCGCCAAAATTGCTATGAAATTAATTTCTTTATTAAGTTTTAGTCTTTAATGTATTGACCATCGTCGTCAGCTCTTGTATATCTCTAGGAGCTTATTAAATTCAACAATCGTGGGCAGCGGCGCTTATCCGGTACGCTACTGAGCTATATATTGTCTGTAAAATTATAATTTGTTAGAAGATAAATAAAATAATAAGTTTTAATTTTGGATTATCCAATGTAAGCTGGCCTCAATTATATATGACCAATTATATTAAATAGGATTCAGCTTATAATGGAATGTGGTAAATATCAGGTTAGGTTCACGTCCTCGAGACTAGCGGAAGGGACCAATGGTCCAATACTTGAGTATTCTCGTTACTCGGTCTCATCTCCAACGGGAGATGGTACCTTAGGAATTTTGGTGGGTAGGCCTCAGAGGACCCACTGGGCAGCTCACTGCCGGTGGAGGAGATTCCTATTACCCCCTTGCTTGCTAGGTATCTAACTGAGACAGCGTCAGCAGCATTTCTTAGACGTTTAAAAAAGGTTAAGTTCACGTCTTACCAGTTGCTTTCGACAGGAAGGAAGGAAGGGTCAAACCCCTTTCACTGCAATGCTGCTAAAAGGATGAGATTTTTAAGAAAATCGTATAGCGAGATGTAGGGAATTTCAGGTAAAGTTACGTGCTATAGAAACTTAAGCTCAGCTAAACTGGGTGCACACTGTTCTCTAATGAATGAAGACAACTCGAGTTGTATCATTTTTTCCTCATTATAGTATTTTTTTAAAACACAAATCGCTTTATTATAAAGTTGGTATTTTCAGTCTCCACTGGATACACAGGTTTCATTATAATACTTAAATTAATTACAATATTTAATAGACAATGTGTGTCCACTATTTCTATAGAGGTATAAATAAATAACTGTTGTCTGAAGGACACCAGTTAAAGAAGCAAATTTTTGCACAATTAACTTATCTCTAAGTAAAAATTTAAAGCAATATTATTTGTTTATTATAGTATTTTAGTAAAGATTTGAGACTTAAGGCTAGTAAGAGAGCAGTTAAACATGTCTATATCTGAGAATTCACAATTGTACATACTTAAACAACGACAAAAATAATTATTTGCAGTATATAATTTGCGAAAATGCGGCGGTACAAATACTTTCATACAACGTGAGGAGCGTACAGGTAACCGAGCCTTAGTTATAAAATTAATTTTCGATAGAAGCGTTGAGGAATCGACAAAAGAATTTAGTATTTTAAAAAGAAATTGCAGATCCAGCTGCTTACGTCGGTTCTGTAGAGTTAATAATTTATAATGTTTTAAGGATTCTCTGTATGATTGATCATAGCTTCTTGAACGATAATTCAATATTTTAATAAATTTTTCCTGAACATTTTCTATTCGGTTTATGTCTATTTTATAGTAAGGGTTCCAAACGACACTTGCAAAGTCTAAAACTGATCTTACGAAACTAAAATAAAGGATTTTAAAAGTAATTATCTTACTAAATGGTTTGCTTACTCTATTTATAAAACCTAAATTTCGGAGTGATTTTTGGACAATTTTCTCATAATGAAGTTTAAAAGTCATTGCGCTATCCATAATAATACCCAGGTCGCGAATACTATCTGTTCTTTTTAAAATCATGTTGTTAATTGAGTATTGAAATAATATTGGTGCTGTTTTTCTTGTATAAGATATTATCTTGCATTTATCTGCGTTAATAAATAGTTGGTTTTCTGTACAGTATTTATTTAATGTGTTTAAGTCAGTTTGAAGGCTGTAGCAGTCATCCATATTAGAAATGACTCTAAATATTTTTGTATCGTCTGCGTACTGAAGATGGTAACTGTTTGGTAACGAATCACCAATATCGTTTATATAAATTGCGAATAGTACAGGTCCAAGGTGTGATCCTTGAGGTACTCCAGATGATAACGGCAAAAAACTCGAACAGTAACCCTTAATGCAAACAGCCTGACTACGGTTCCGAATATAAGACTCAAACCATCGTAATAAATTGCCATGCACACCGATTCTTGAAAGCTTTTTTATAAGTAAATAATGGCTAATTTTATCAAACGCTTTAGAGAAATCGGTGTATACGACATCAACTTGCTTGTTTTCATCCATAGCTTTAAGGACAATATCAGTGAATGTGACCATGTTGGTCTCGACACTGCGTCTTTTCATAAATCCATGTTGCGTATCAGACATATGAGACTTAAGAATGGAGGACAGTTGATCTGATACTATTTTCTCGAATAATTTACCAAGAACACATAATTTTGAGATGGGTCGATACTGCGTTATTAAATCTTTTTGCTTGTTTTTGGGAATAGGCGTAATGAGGGCTCTCTTCCAAACACTAGGGAAAATACCAGAATTCAAGGACTGTTGAAATATTTTATAAATTGGTTTTAATAATTGGTTTGCACACTGAGATATTAATAAAGGGTGTATCTCATCAGATCCAGCTCCCTTATTAATGTTTACATTTTTTAAGTGTTTAAGTATCACTTTTTCATCTAGTTGTATTTTTCCGAAATCAATTATGGAAAATTTTTCATCACATTTACGAGCTGAATTTATGCTATTATCAATATCTACGTTAGTTTTTTCAAAAACGGATTGAAAGAATATATTAAAAGCTGTACAAATCTCTTCGCCTGTAGTCAAATTTTTTCCATTAAAATTCATATTATGTGGAATTTCGTCGGTTTTATTTTTTGATTTGACATACGACCAGAACGAATTTGGATCATTTTTAATATTATTCTCTGAAAATGCTATATATTTATTATAGGTATCTGCTTCCAATTTGCGGACGCGAGATCGAAGTAATGAAAACGTATTGTAGTCAGCTTGATTACCGTAGGCCTTCCATTTCCTATGATATTTTCTTTTCTCATTACTTAACTTAATAAGAGGTCGCGAGTACCACGGAGGAAATTTTTCTCTATTTATCTGGAGGCTTACTGGCACATGTAATTTAATTAAATCAGTTAGAATGTTGTAGAAAACCAGCACCATAGCATCAACATCATCAATACAGCTCTGAAAAGTAGTGTCCCAATCGATTGAATCTAAACTGCATTTTATAGAATTATAATCAGCCCTAAAAAACATTTTTTTATAAGTTTTGTTATTTTTTAAAACAATTGGTAGACATTTTACTATATCAATATCGAGAGCTTTGTGATGTGGGTCTTCCAATACAAAGGGCATAAAACTCGACCTTACCGAACACGTTTCAGTACAAAAAACTAGGTCTAAAACACGGTTATTAATGTTAGATATATTATTGTATTGTCCCAGTGTACATAAGTTCATGAAATCTGCTGTCAACGATGTAAATTTGTCATGACTTGAAGGTATGAACATGCTACCCTGTTCATCATGATATTTCCAATTAGCATTGGATACATTAAAGTCCCCCAATATAAGAAATACATCATCGCTATGCGAGTGTATGATGTCCGCGGTTCTGTCATAAAAAGAGCTCAGCAAAGCTTCGTGTCTGACACCATGTGGTATATAGGTACACGCTATATGTAAAAAAATTGAGTCATTAGTGGCAGTGGTGGACAGGGAACTCGCGGCGCGGTTGCGAAGGGGAACGCTCACCCACAGCTCATCTGCTGGCGGTGGCGCCTCCCAGTCAGTTCGACGTTTCGCATAAAGACTTCGACGCACAGCTATAATTACTCCACCACCGAGAGAACACCCAGTGGATACTACATCTCGGTCACATCTCAAAACCTCATAACGACTATCGAAAAATTCCGAACTATAGAATGAATCATTGAGCCAGGACTCAGTTATGCATATTATATCATAATTGTTATTCAATACACTACTTAAGAACTCATTATATTTAGTACGTAAACCCCTCACGTTTTGATAATAAATAGATATAACATTTCCATTCATTTTTAAATAATATAATAGTTGTAAATTAAACTAGGTAATATTTGAATGAATAAACAATTATTGCACCGCTCTCGCTCATTTATTGATAAAATTGATACATAAACATTTTCAGTGATTACAAACAGATATTTCCTCCTGCATTTATTAAAAAACACAAACTTGATCCTATAACCGTAACTAAACTGCCTTCTTTTATTTAGTGTTAAGAGTAAGATATAACCTTGTAATTTAAGTGTAACAATAATATTTTTTCTATAACAATAATTATACTGCTCTCGTTCAAGTAAAAAATAGGTAAATTTTGTAACTACTAACAAAAAACTTCCCTTATAATCATTTATATATATGATATTTTTACAATACAAAATGTAAATCGATATATTAAGCTTAGATTTTTCACCAAATACACGAAACAAACACTTTGACTGTCACTTTATTTTAACTAATTCTTTCTCACTACCGACGTATATGGATCTCGATGAGTCAGTCTTACGAAGAAAGATTTTGCAATCATTAATCCAAATGTACTTATATCCTAACTCTCTTCCCAGTTTACGAACCTTCATATATAACATTTTGTTACATGGTGTTAAGTGGTCATTGACAAAAATTGGCTTTGAAGCACCGTCTATACCTAGATCAGCTGTTGTTAATCCACGGCGTGCCCGTACAGCGGCCAGAAACTCACTTTTCCTCCGTCGTTGAGTGAATTTGATAATTATATTTGGTATATTTGATATGTCGCTTTTTCCGTTTTGTTCTTTCACAGAGAAACGCCTCACTCGATGTATGAAATCGACGTCCGCGGGTGAAACAACAAATCCAATCTTGGTGGCAATTGTATGGAGGGTATTATATAAATTTTCACCCTTGATTTGTGGAACTCCAGAGATTTCTAGGTTGTTGATGCGATTTTGTTGATCTTTGCTATTATTCAACTCTATTAGTTCCAAGAGCTCCTGTTGTGTATTACATAATTTTTCTTCCAGTACTTTGTTTTTGTCACACAATTTTTCTTGGATATTCCTGATACCTGACAAGGAAGTTGTGAGATCTAGTCGATCTTTTTCGAGATTTTGCTGACTTTGTTTTAAATCGGAAACCTCAATTTTAAGCATACACAATTCATCATGAAGTAACTTAATACTGTCACTCTGCTTATTGATTAAAGATTCCATCTTCAACATGACGGTATTTTGAAATTCTGATAATGTTTCCTTTAATTGGTGTTGAAATTCAATCAACTCTTGGGATAGTTCACGACGAAAATCGATTACACAATTGTTATCGCAGTCTGGTGTCTTTCGTTTTCTAATTATTGCAGTCTGGTTTGAAGAAGTTTCGTCTTTGAGTTGAGTCAAATTAGGATGTGAGTGTGACCCAGCACTTTTGTTTGGAGGGCTACGTCGGATACTCATTATAATGTTGCACTTTGAATATGTAGTAAATAAAACAAAAACGATAATATAGATATTTAGGAATAGAAACTAATCACGCTTGCGTTTCTTTACAAGTACGTAGGTATTGTAAAGTCGGCGCGTCAGCACCGTTCAATGTGATTTCAAACTGCAACTACGTTCAATCACACTACCTACTAATCGAATGCGACCGTCTCGCTCATAAGGCGAGTGAAAAAAAAATGCGTTTGTCTCTTTTCTTCAGAGAGGTGAACAAGTTTTTATAAAGTGATGTGTAGTTGTAGGAAAGAGATAAACTATTCTGCGTTATTTTAAAATGCACTTTACATTACCTTCCCACAACGCACAAATTAACAAATAACTGAAAATGTTTTATTTTAAATAATTCGACACAAGTCCTTCCGACAACAAGCACACGGTGAAGGTTTATTAAGCTCATGCAATATTACGCGAGTCTGAGAGTCCGTGCAAATCTGACGGAGCTCAGTCAAGCAACTGACGGAAGTATATATCTGTACAAATTTCCGTCGAGTGTGCAAGGTCGAATTTAATCTCATTTATTTTTTAGATCTCTATCATTTCGTGGAAAATAAAACGCCACGTATCTACCGTCGGACATGTACCGACCCTAAGACATTTATTGACAAAGAAATTCGCTTGAGCTCACAGAGAGTTCGGACAGAACGCGCTCAGTCATAGGAGACACCTGAAGCACGTTTAGCGCCGATCGCGGCTCGTGCACTATTACGTTGAATCTCAAGCATTCACTCTCAGGGCAAATATCTTGAGCTCTCTGAGAACTCATACAGAAAGCGTTTAATCTCAGGAACCTCTTGAAGATGGCTTAACACCTCTACTTGCTGATCGTAACACACATGCAGTGTGGAATGAGACTAAAATTTCCATTCATAGAAAAATGCGCTCAAATGAAGTTTCGATTATCGTCAACCGATGTTATAATTAAATTGTCACACTATACATATATTAAACTAGCTGTTAACTAGCCGCATAAATTATAACATATTGTAATCGAGCTTCCCGTAGATTTTTAAAATCGGTCCAGTGATTTCGGAACTAATTTGATGCAAAAAAACAATCAAATATTCATAATATTATAGATTATAAGAGGTCCGATGGCGTGCGTTAGCGCATTCGGATTACGATGACACAACAAGAAAATGACATGAACATACATAAATATTTTACATAACAACGTACAAAAGATAAAATTATCGCTAGCCAGCGAGTTCTTGCAGGTAACCTAGCATTGAATAGAAAAACTTTATTATAATTTGGAGCTCTTCCGTACTTCAGAATATAAGTTAAGCCGTTGGTTCCGGCTGCATCAGCAGTCGTTGACACCCACCAATTCGCATCGCGTTGCGGATTATGGAAAGAAATAAAAATTAAGTTTGTTGAAAAAATACTTTTTAGTACAATTCTATTTAAAGATAAATATTTTTTTTCCCGTGAGTAGGTATATTAAGTACTTACAAAATATAATATTAAAGGACAAACAGACTGAATTGATGATTAGTTTTTAAGTGATGTACAAACAAACTGTAAAGGCATACATTCTCTTTGAATAGCTTATTAAACAATTACTCCCATTAAATAACCATAATTATGCTACGTTACTTTCAGAATGGGTAATCAGGCTAACCGTTCGAACATCAACGATTCGTATAACAGTAAAAATAAGTATGCATTAGGAAAGTGTTGCTTTACATACAAGAATCTCTGTAAGAAATTAATACTTAATTTTAAATATTAATCATATCTTTATATATTAGTTAAATATGTTGTTGTCCGTTTCATCTCTAGTATCCATTGAAATATTATTGGAAAAATTGCTTTATAGATTTCTTAGTCATTCGTATTGCATCACTTTAGTATCTGAAAAGTCATTGGTGCACCAAATTAATAGTAGCTTTGTTTATATTTCTCCAAAAGAGAATGGAAGTCTTGAAAATCAGCTACTTAATGTATCAGAGATGGGATGTTCGGATTATATAGTATGTCTTGAGGATCCAAAAAGTTTTATGATAGCTTTTGAAAATGTAGTTCATATGGGAAATACTCGACGAAGTGACCGGAAAATAATATTCTTACCTTTTGAAAACAATTATGATACAAAAATGAAACTACTTGAAGTCTTAACGTTAAAAGAGACCAGTTTTGTGGCAAATCTTTTGCTAATATTGCCGATTGATCAATGCGGAAATTGTGATTTTTATGATTTGGTGACGCACAAATACAGTGGTCCTGATGCAGAGAGTGTCCAACCTTATTTCATGGATCAGTGGAACTCATGTACGCTTGATTTTTTAAATAACACTGATTTGTTTCCCCATGACATGTCGAACTTAAATGGTAAAAGTTTAAAGGTTGCTTGTTTTACATACAAACCGTATGTGTTATTGGATATTGAAACTTCTATAGAGTCTCGAGGTCGTGACGGCACTGAAGTCAGGATAGTGGATGAGTTTTGTAGGTATGCATTTAAGAGATTCTTCTAAATCAGGAGTCCTTTTCTTTCTCCGAAAACGAAGTTTCGAATAATTTTTAGATATTTTCATAATATGGATGATGTCACGATAAAAAAATGCTAGTAAAATACTAGTCTAGATAATAGAAAAATATTACATACATATTTTTTTTTGCTTCAATTAAACATTTGTCATTGAAGTTGAAGGAGGCACGCTACGCCACAACTATGTAGAAAGTCCAAGTTTGTTTCAAAAAATGTACAAAGGCGTAACGTCATGTGACGTCATGTTTCACCGTAATTCGTCAACGATCTATCTGAAGGACAGACAGTCAAAAATAACTTTTGTGCAGGCTATATAAGAACAGCCTCAGTTGTTGGAATGGCGTTTCAATTATATACGAAATTTCGTTCTTTTACTCATATCGTAATAGTCATATCGTATATACTGTCTATCTAACAAAGATATTATATCATATTTACATACCCATGTTAAAGGTGGATCAATTGTACGATTGAATTAATTCAAGATAATGAACATGAATGGGGCGAAATATATCCTAATAGAAGTGGTGTTGGGGTTCTAGGAAACGTGGCTATGGATAGAGCCGATGTTGGTATAGGTAAGAGAATTTTAAATTAATAAAATATAAACGTCCAGTATTTTTTGCTGAAAAAGGTTTGAAAGAAAGGAAATCACAGAGGACCAGACTCTTCCCAAAATAGTACACGTAAAATTGAAAAATCTTCTAAAAAGATATTTTATGCTCCTAGCCTAATATTTTATGGTTTTCTGGCTTAAATTGTGTGTGGTTTCTATAATCAAAGTTTTCGACGATGATTTCTTCTTTTAAATAAGTACGACTTTGCTGAAAATTAAAGTAACTCTTCCTTTGAGAGGTGTGAGAACAGAAAGATTTACATGAGAACTTTGTTGAGAGTTATTAAATATGTAAGAAGAGAGGCTAAATATGTTAGAAGTGTGCAATAAAATTGTGTATTGCGCAATAAGTCTAATTAAATCAACATATTTATTAGAATTCTCTTCCATAATTTCAGGCTATGGTTACGTCTATGTTTATAATAATGTATTTATAATACTTTCAGCTGCTCTCTATTGTTGGTATGAAGTATATAGAGTTTTAGATTTTTCTGCAGTACACATAAGAACAGCTATTACTTGTGTCGCTCCATCACCGAGGTAAATAAAATGATAAGAAATAATATTATTTTTGTAAATTTCTTAAAAACATTATTTAGTGATGTTGTGCTTGGAACAACATTTTTAATGAAAAATGCTTAAAAACCACTAGATACCCAGATATCCCGAGATGGATCTCGAACCCGCAACTGTTGCAATCCGGGAGACTACTCTAACCATTTAACTACTTGAAACCAAACAGGACAGGACTAACGAATTTTCAAGCACTTATTACTTTTTCCTACTAGTGAGCGTATTTTTCATCAATGTTCAGACAATCACCCAACAGCCGAAAAAATATATTTTACTAATATTTTATACTTTTGATTAAGATGTAAAGTTTTAATTTATCATATTCCTTTTTTAAATGGGGCTGGTAGATTTTTGAAGCATTTTTCATTAACGATATTTATTAGTACAGCATTATGAATTCAAAATTGATCAAATATTACGATTGGAACAACATTTTATAAAAAAAGATTCACATTAAATAGTAGTCTGACTTTGAAAAACTGATGTTTAAAAACTGTTTTAATGCTCAATAGTTGGAAATTGTATTATTTTATTATATTAAGAATTTTAAATCTTCTTTTAAGGTTGCTAGTCAGTTTGATGATGCCTTTAGAACCATTCAGTTGGTTTATGTGGATTGCTTTATTATTCACTTTCATATTTGCATCGGTTGTACTTATATTCGTAAGAGGAGGCTCTTACGGTGTGGTGCTTTTGAGTACATTTGGAATGATGTTATCTCAGGTTGAGTTTTTTGTTTAACATTTATGTTTAAAGACTTATTCAACGTTTAAAGACTTATATAACGTAAGCGGAGTTTTTTTTAAATGAACATTTCTATTCTCTGCTTACGTTATCATTGGTATATACAGCACAAAATTGTTGTCAGTGCACATCATTTAATATTGTGTTCGTTATTTATTTATTAAGTTATATTCACGTTTTTCTCTCTCTTTTTTAACTTGCTAACATCGGTGTTAAAAAACTGAAAACGATGTCTTTAAACACATTGTTAGTTATGATACTACGTACCTGTACCCGAAGGTTGACAACCGATTTTTTTTCAATATAATACAGTCGTACATTGCAGTTAAAAGTAATATAATAATGTTGAAAATGTTAATATTATTTAAGATTTGTTTTTTAATTTTTGGGATTTTCAAAGATTTATAGAGTTACCATTAAGACGGCAAAAAAACATTAAAGAAAACATTTTCTTTTAATTACAGTACGTATTTATGAAGTAGGTACTATAAATAAAAGCTATAATTAACTTCGGTAAAAAATAGTTTTTATATACAAAGATATTATTTTATCAACCTTATTAGAATAAACTCGTGGGAAGCATCATCCATCCCGCATTATTCCCGTTTTTTCGTAGTTTCTTGTAAGAAATTGTTCGTTTCAGAATCTGAACAGTTAATAAAATGTTTAAATGTCACAAAAAGCTTTATAATTCGCTTTTCAGTCTCAGCCAAATAAAAATACTACATGGCGAATCCGCAGTATCACTGCTTGGCTGACGATCACTGGCCTTGTATTAGACAACGCCTATTCGGGTGGTTTGGCATCTGTGTACACTGTGCCTAAATACGAGAAATCTATTGATACTGTCCAGGATATAGTCGACAGAAAAATGGAGTGGGGAGCAACCCATGATGCATGGATTTATTCTATTACCCTTTCTAATGAGGTACCTAATGGTATTTCTCATTTATTTTTTGTTTATTTTGTCTTACAGACACGTTCTAGAATAAGTATTATTAATATTTTAGCCTTTAGTCAAACAGTTGCTAAGACAGTTTCGTGTGTTTTCACCGGAAATATTGAAGAAAAGGAGTTTTGAGAGAAATATAGCGTTATCCATTGAAAGATTGCCTGCAGGTACCTAATTTTTACTTTTAACTTAATGTTTGCAGTTTTTTTTTATATAAAAGTAAAACAATAAGTACTATAGAAAGTTCATATATAAGCAAACTATGCTAGTGCTTACTTATACGTTTCGCGTAAAAGTCCGAGTAGAGTTAGTTTCAGAAAGAAGTCCCACGGCATAACTCTTATTCGTTTGTAATAAAAGCGAAAGCATTGTGATCCGAGGGACTACTTTCTTGAGACGAACTTTATTGTTGATTATTTTCCGAAGTTTGGCTAAAAGATAGAAAACGTACAAAAACTACCACCAATATGGGTTGAAGTACGTGGTAGTAGTAATGATGTTGTTACTGATTGGTAAATAAGTAAATATTGTATTGATTTGAAAGAAAAATTAAGCAGTTAAGTGTGTCATTCGGTTACTGATCTTTAAATAGGTAAAGATTTTACTGTGATAGACTTATTTATGTAAGTATTTAATTTTACTACATTATTTGACGATACACTAGGACACTTTGCCATCGGGGATTATATAACCAAGGAAGCTCTTCTAGATTTAACTATAATGCAAGAGGATTTCTATTACGAGCATTGTTTGATGGTCCTACGTAAAAGTTCGCCGTACACAGAAAAACTAAGTCAATTTATTGGACGTTTACACGAAACCGGGCTGTTGTTGGCTTGGGAGACGCAGGTAAATATACATAATGATATAAATATTATAAATACGTTAGTTTGAGAGGATCGATGTATGTTTGTTACTTTTTCACAAAAAATATATATAAGCCTGCATTAACATATATTGTCAAGTCATCGTGTGAACCACGCGGACGAAGCTGCCGGCCGAGAGCTAGTACAGGATGATTCTTAGAAACTTGAACTTCCAGTTTGATATCGATTGATTGTTCTTCAAAAATATTGAAAGTTGACTAATATTTCTTTTATTTTAAAATCTATATAGAATTTGCCGCCTTACTTTCGAATGCAATCGCGACCGATCGACATTGTAATTGTGCCGTTTCGTACTCTTGATTGGGAAGACTACCGTCAGAGTATGCTAGTCGATTGGTTGCAATTGCGTTAAAGAATAAGGGGGCTAATTCCGCCAATCCGCATTGGTCAGCGTGGAGGGTAATGGCCCATCCTCTTTAACCATCCTTAAGGAAGGCCTGAGTCCCTGCAGTGGGGACGTAAAAGGGCTGATGCTGATAGAATCTGATATCGAAACAGCAGTTTAAAAAATATACGATTTAATTACGTTTATTTCTGACGAACAATAATGAGGTATGTATAAAATCGGAAATCCAAGTTTCCTAGAATTTAACAATAACCAACAGATATGTCCTTTAAATATTTAAGTATTTATATTTTACTCATTGTTGGAATGGCTATACATATTTTAATTAGGTATCTTAATTAAATATTTGTTGAGCGTTTATAATTATAAGATTGTGGATATTAAAAAAAAGAATCATCGGTCCAAAATTATTTAAAATAACTGGTTTATTTTTCATATGTATTATTTAAGGTGGCATTAAAATATTTAAATTACGCAGTGCAACTAGAAGTGAAATTATCTCGATCCAAAAAGGTTGTTAAAATTGAACCGCTTGGTTTTCGTCATGTTTTGGTATGTAGATGAATATTATAGAAAATTATATTTATCGTTTTAATTAAGAGTCATCATCTAATGGTGGTGGAGTACAGAAATAGCTTAAGCTGAATTTACATTACGAAAGTAAGCAATTGCAGTTGCAGTAATTGCAGTTGCAGCTTCATTGCATTAATTTCGTTAGTATTTGCACGCACAGAACACGCAAAAGAGGTCTTTCTGTGTTCTAAGAGATGCACGTGTAAGTAAACGAAAGTATACAAAGTAATGCATGCAATGAAAGCACATGCTTTAGTTTCCTGACAGCGATGCGCACTTTTTGATGCAACTACTTTCACGTTATTAATATGACCTTGATTTGAATTGCGGAATATTTTATATTATTTTATATATTTTTTCAGGGTGTCTTCATACTATACCTCATTGGAGTAACCGTATCTGTTTTATTATTTTTCATCGAAGTATTTATGAAAGAAAAGAAACAGCGATTATTGGAGAAACAATGAGTCAGTAACCGCTTTAGCTATTATAGGCTTCGATTAAAAAAGAGGCTTTAGGTGTGTGTAAACATGTGAAATAAAAAAAAACTTAATAAACACTTTTTCTTTTTTTTACCGACGAAAGAAACGAAGTAGGTTCATTTTGTAATTACTTTATTTTTTAAAAAGGGATGTAACCATTCGAGTAGATACAAGTAATTACTCGATACTTTTCTTTCCATGCCAAGTACTTCTGGAACCGATACTTTAAAACCGTGTAACAAGTAGCTTCGTGAAGTATTTGTATCGTTTCGGACACTCATTGATAACTCTCGTGTGCATAAGACTTTTTAATCTGTGTTATGGTGACTAAAGTCTGTCTCATGTAAAAGTCCCACAGTCTTATATTGAAGCATTGTTAACCCCTATTAATTTTATGTAGTTAAAGATCTACCTAGAAAGGGCACTGCCAGCAAAAACTGTAAACACAGTATTGATACTAACTATTAATAGCTATAGATAGGTATAACTATCAGATTTGATATCTGCTGAAAATTTTAAAATATTCGATACGAGTAGGTATCGATACTTTTCTTCGATACCGAGTATGTATCGACACCTTATGACCGATACGGTATCGATACCTTGATGGTATCGTTCATTCTTATTTTTAAATACTTCATGTCTTATATTATACCCATGGACTCAGTACTGTTTAACAGGGCAAAGCCCTCCCAGCTGAAAAGCGAGCCAAGCGAGATATCAAGTAAAGGGGGAGGCTATTTGTCCCTTTCTAATAGGGTGACAATAACATTTTAATTAACAATCTTATTATGCATGGGTACTACAAATTTATCAAAATATATTAGCTGTGGAGGTTACAAAAGCTAGAAATGGGAATGGTGGCAATTTTGTTTTTCGGAATGATTTATGACGGCCACGTTGCCTCAGCACGAATAACTGGTTAGATTAATTTCATCCATTAATGATACCTGTGTTTTAACACCACCAATCCGTATTGGGATCTCCACGTGGGCCCAGTTAGGAAAGCTGAGTGGATTAGTTTCATCTATTATAAATGTTTTAGCACCGCCAAACCTCATTACCGCTTAATCTTTGTAATCGCAGATCAAACGCGCTAACCAATTGTACACGTCAACGTGAAATCTTAAACACACACATTTTTTTTTCACAAATATAAATATATTGCATTTAGAAAAAGTTGTATTATCTTACGGATCTCCAATAAGTCGGTCGAATTACATCCCGCTCCATTGGTACGATGCAATTTATATCGACAATCAATTCGGCTTCGAGCCATGAGTGAAGAGCCTTAGGATGAGGTGTCATACTTTAGAAATAATACACAAAATCTCAAAAGAGCAATATCATATCATAATAGAAAGTTTTGTTTACATATTTTAGTAAATTCCTAGTTTATGTGGAATAATTTGATGTGGAATAAACGACTGTTCATTTATGGTATATATTTATTACGTTGTATAACAAGTCAATGCAGTCGGTACAAATATTGTAATAGACATTTCTTGAAATACAATATTAAAATAATGATCATTAAATATTAATAAAAAATGTTTTATGAATTAAATAAAATTTCGTTTGTTGAAATATTTTTAACTTTTTCACAGTGACGACTGCATACAATTGTAATTTTTTCTTCACGTAACAGCCCCCAACTGCTGAGATATTTTTGTCGCATTTCTTCATTTTTCGGAAAACTGTATTAAGACTTTGCTATGACCTTATACACATCATCAACGTATTACATGATTTCATGGTTAACATAGTTTTTAGATTTGTAATATTGTTATTTTTATCTTAATTGTGAAAAGACGTATTGCAATCACTACAAAATTCACTTGAACAAACATAAACGCAAGACTTTTTTACATTTTTCACTTTTGAAATGAAATAAGAAATTACTGAATTAAAAATACCATAAAAAATAATAGCTAATAAAATATATGCAATAAGTCACCGCCACGAAACTTCAAAGGGATGCCAGTAGAAAATAAGTAAAAAATAGCCTTATAATAATTAATACTATCTTTTTGAAATAATTTAATATTAAAGAATTTATCGTTATTATATAATGACTTAATTTAAACTTTTAATCAACGATATATTTTATAATGGCAGGAAAGGTGAAATAACGAGACACACGGGCTCCGTTGTGACTATTTTTCTCGGTTCGAATTAGCTTCTGTGGAAAGAACAATGAAATGCACACTGTAATGAGGAAGTATTTAAAAATAAGAAGAAAGCACCTTCACTAGATGGCGGCTCTAGCAAAAGTTGATTTTTGCAGGAAATGAATAGACCAAAGATAGTCATTTCCGTTCCTTTTAACTAAAATATTAAAAAACTGGAATTGGCAAAGTTCGAAATTTAGATATCAATTCAAATATGAAAAAGTACAACTAGAATATGAGTTAATTATTGAGTTTTGAAAATTAATTTACTTTTATACGTAAAAGAAAACCGGAAGGGTTGTTATGGAGAAATCAAATAAGTATCGTAGCAACATTTACTTTGATTTCGGGAACTAATGTCTTTTTTTAAATACTTCCTTATTGTTAGAAACATATAAGAAACTATTGAATTAAAAATATCAAATAATATGAATAAATTATGTCCAATATGTAATCGCATGACACTTAAAAGAAATACCAGTAGAAAATAAGTAAACAAATAGTCTTGATCATAATTAATACTATATTTTTGTGATTATTAAATATTATCTAAATTAATGTGATTATATAATGACTTTATTTTTTTTAATAGTATCCATTAAAATACAATTGTTTCTATTAAGGTTATTTTATATTCATCACAAAAGACTATCTATTTACTACTTAGTAAATAGAAAGTTTTTGGTATTTTTATTTTGCATAATAATAATACCTAAATAATGTTTTGTGCTTCTAAGCAATGCTTTTATTAAAAAAATATGCTATCTTTTTTATCAATGTTACTTCATAATAATTTATTTCCCATTACATCGACTACGTACGACGTTATATTCTATCTTATTTGAAGTTTTTTTTATTAAATGGGCCTCTTATTATGTGAATACTTATAGTTTTAATTTTAACTGACTTTTTTTTTCTATAATGGCAAAAAATAGATAAAAGAACGAACGTATAGTCACAACTATATCTCTCGGCTCAGGTTAGTGATTTATAGTACTAAAGTGCCTTTTTAATATAATAATGTCAATTTTTCAAAGTTATCAGTCCTGTTATTTTAGTCTACGTCCATGTTTCCTTCACCCATCATACCATCTTTATTTTGTAGTGGCAGCCTCGATGTGACGTCTTGTTTATAGATTGCTTTTGATTGGTTGAAAGTTTTTCATCGCGGGAAAATCGATCGATACTTTGCGTCGAACGTACGTATGATTCTTTTCGGCAAATAGCATTTCGTAAAATAGCAGCAGCCAGCAGTGTCGTTATCGAGTTCTCGAGAGCATCTTAAAGTGCAACATGGCATCTTATATAGTGATGACTTTATTATTTGTGTTTTCTGCGTCTGCCGAATTCGTTTGGAAACATCACAACAACGAGGAATTACCATTGGTTTTGGAAGAAGTCCATCAGAAATGCCCTAACATTACGCGAGTGTATGCTCTATCAGAACCTTCTGTTTGTAACGTTCCTCTGTACGTCATTGAATTTTCTGATTCTCCAGGATTCCACCAACCCTGTAAGTAAAAATTAAAACAGTAGACACTTTTATTTATAGTCTACCTACAAGAACCAATATATAAAAAAAAACACTTATCTTTTTAGATAAACCAGAAGTTAAGTACGTTGGAAATATGCATGGAAATGAAGTGTTGGGACGTGAACTGCTGTTAGGTCTAGCTGATTATCTTTGTGATCAATATTTGAAACAAGACCGCCGCATCAGAGCACTCATTCACAGCACTCGTATTCATTTACTGCCTTCAATGAATCCTGATGGCTGGCAGCTGTCTACAGACACAGTTTGTTTTATTCTAATTTATGTTTCCATATGTTTTATTAATATTCCTTATCCATTAAATTTGAAGTTATTAAATTATAGGGTGGACAAGACTACCTGATTGGACGTAACAATAACCATTCTGTTGACCTGAACAGGAATTTCCCAGACTTGGATGCCATTACTTTTGAATTTGAGAGACAAGGTATTAATCACAATAACCACCTGTTAAAAGACTTAACCCGTCTAGCAGCACCAGTAAGTTCAAAGAATTTTTATTTGTTATTTATAGCATTTATTATCTTGAAACCCACCCAGTTAGTTAAATAAAACACAGTAACATAAAATTCTGTAATATTAAGGGGGTTAAAAACCATATAATTGAAATATTAAAAAGGGTTTAATTTGTGGTTTTACTTAATTATATTTTTTTAAATGAATATAAGACAACATCACATACATTACTAAGGTACCAAAATAAGTAGTTATAGCACTTGTATTACACACTGAAACAGGCATGTGAGCCACTGCTTTTTATCTTATATGGCATCTGATTTTTGTTTACAGTTGGAACCAGAAACTCGTGCTGTAATGAGATGGATTATGTCCATTCCATTCGTTCTTAGTGCGGCAATACACGGGGGAGACCTTGTCGCTAACTATCCATATGATGAAAGTAGGAGCGGTGCTCCAGTTTCTGAATATTCTGCTAGCCCTGATGATGATACTTTTAGGTAATAGCTTCATTATGACTAGAAAGAAATATATCCATTTCATTTGTTTACATATAACAACATGCAAAATTAACAATAGCGACCAACTTAATTAATGATGTTAGGATTGTGTTGCTATAGAGTTGTAATTTCTTTGGCACATGCATGCTGTGGCAAGTGACTACAAGATTTTTTATGAAATTTATTCATTACTGATGATGATTATGATATATAATTTTCATATAATTGATTTTAAAATCTAACTTCAATGCCTAAATTAATTAAGATTAAAGATCAAGTGGTGAATTTGACAGTTTTGTGTAGTCTTATGTGTGTTGACTGTACTTGATTAACCCCCCATACATACCAAAGGTTAGTCAATACTGGCCTAGACATAACAATATAGAAAAGTTAATTTTCTACATTGACTGAGGTGGGTATTGAATTTGTAAACAAAGATGTCAGGCAACACTAGTAAAATTAAAAAGTTTAATTATGGATGGATAACGGTTCCATTTATTTAGGGAATTAGCTACGACATACGCATCCGCTCATGCTGACATGGCGTCGGCCAGTCGTCGTGGTTGCCACACCACTAGTTCTGATGACTCCGCCACTTATAACTTTGGAAAGCAAGGAGGCGTTACTAATGGCGCCGCGTGGTACAGCTTAAAAGGAGGTGATTAAAACATGCTTGCCAATTTGTTTTTCTTGTTAACAGTTTTATAACTTCCTAGAGTTCTTTCATTATTGATACATAAATATCTTGCGTCACTTAAAAACTGCAGTACCGCATCTACGTCACATTAAACTCTGATTTTTTACCAATATTCTGTCGCTCTTGTAAGGAGAATTTATTATCGAGCAAAAAATTATGAAGTTTTCGTATCTTTCAAATAATTGTGGTCATCAAAAGTCCGATATTAAAATAGGGATGATGCCTGGGTAAAAAAAAGATATTCAAGATATTCTATTTAGTTTGTCAATTAGACAATAGAAAAATGTTCCCCAAAAAATAAAAAAATGTGTTTATTATTCTTTAATAATCTAACTGATAACGGTTAGACAAATAAATGTCATCATAGCTAATGCTTCTTTACCGCCGTGGGGGTTATTATATCATGTTAGGAACCACTGTTTTAATATGTCCTTTTCTCAATTCAATGAATATTATTGATTCACTAATGTAATATAACTAGTGACGTGACAAGATAGTAACATTATCAAATTAAACTGGGTTCATTGTGCTTAATTATCGTTACCGAGGTTTCCATCATACAGCAATCTTATGCATTCACATTAATGTATGTATATTAGTTACGTCGAGGAAGTTACGAGCACTCAATACTCCAAGCTAGGAAATGAAAGAACCATGTAAAAACCGTGTCTTCTGGCACTCGTTTCTGTTTGCCTACTTAAATTTTATATAGGGAAATACGATATTCAACCAATAACTGCAGCCCGCGGTCAAATAATATTTTATTATAAGATTAATGGCAACTGTATACAAAATTTATTCTTCTGCCTTTGCTATTTGATGATCAAATTAGTAGGGATGAAATATGTAATAAAAAGTCCGATTAGTCATGTTCGTAGCTGCATTCTCACATGGATACTCTGTATGCATGATCATTTATTAAGAAGCAGGAAGTTTGTAATAATGGTTTGCCTCTTATTGTCTGTACGTTGACATTTATGGATCTACTACAGTTGGCCATGAGATTTAAACTGGTTTACCATTACAACTTTGTTATGCGCAATTGACAACAAAACATAGTTTTTACAGCTTCCTAAATTTGTTTGTGTTTTGCTAAGCCGCCTACATACTCGTATCACGTTCGCAATAATTTATGTGTATGCGTTACATTACCAGTTATTTTTAGAATTCCAACTAAAAAGTAAACAACGTTTTAGGAATGCAAGACTTCAACTACTTGGCAACGAATGCGTTCGAGGTAACGCTCGAACTCGGATGTGATAAGTATCCAGCTGCGAGCGAATTAGCTAAAGAATGGGAGAGAAATCGCGAAGCACTATTGGCCTATTTATGGAAAGCTCATATCGGCATCAAGGGCATAGTGAACGACGATTCCGGATTTATACAAAACGCTATTATATCTGTCGTGAACATAACCGGACCAGTCCCGCGGCCGATCAGACATGACGTCACAACAGGTTTGTAATACTTAATACAATCTAAATGTTCGTTATTAATTAATATGATAAAAATATTTCACAATTAGATTACAAGCTTATGCATCATATTCAAAACGCGAAATAAATAGATATATCTATCGATAATCCGATCAATGTATCTCTGAACCCTGTTTCGCACTAATGAAACATTTGTAGTTAAACATATTGTGACTTATTATCAGAGGTCGGAATTAGGTAGAGTTATTTATGTACTTGCATCGAAATGTTGATATTGGAGTGGATCTTCCCGGGATTTGTAATGGACAATCTTGGACATCTTTGGACATCCGATGTCATCGATGTAAGTTTGGCAACGTCGTGCGTGCAGTAGTTTAAATTTTGTAAAAGTAAATAACTTTTTATTTAAAAAATCACTGGATTTTTTTCTGCTCTTTAAAATTAATTTCGGGATTTGAGGCATATCCACTTTATTCTTTCGCTGTATGAAATCATGAATTGACACATGACATGAATAACTCTACTTAATTCCGACCACTGCTTATTATGTTTATACGGTAATTTGCAGTATTTGATTTTATTTTTATTTTCAATGTCTTCGGAAAACCTATAATATATAGAATATAAAGAAAATATATAGAATATTTATTATATCTATAAAGAAGGCCAATTACAAGTTTCCACTTATAGGTAATTAAACAATAGAAAAAACAAACGACAGCTAAAAGCAACAAAATGAAAATTCTACTAGGTTGACATTTAAGATTAAGCATTTCTTTATATTTCATTATTTTATGTTTATTTAAAGCTCGAGAAAAAAAGAGAATCAATTCACTTATAAAAAAATTGGTCTACTAAAAGGCCTTTAAGTTTGTTTAATGAAGTATTAAATAAATCGATGTCAACATTTGCCTTGATCAAAGTGTTGAACATTGCGCTAGCTCTCAAAATAAGAGTTTTGCCCATAATTGGTACGGACTAAGGGAACATGAATAAGGTTAGGTTTTTTAGTGCAGCTGCGTTAATACGGAGACCAATTAATTCCAACAATTCAGGACAGTCAATGATGCCATTTGCTATTTTGTGAAAATAAGTTAAATCTGCTATTTCTTCGTACAGAGGGATAAAATGAAATTTTCGATATCTTGTTCAATAATCAGGTAAGTAAATTTTAGCTCTGAACTGTAGAAACCGTAAAAACCTCTGTGAGTCAGTTCAGCAAAATGATGTACTGATCCGAATTTCAAAGTTTGCTCTAAATGGACCAATGTATCAGTGGAGCTTACTGACACGAATGACCAAAAGAATGAACTGAGCAGACAGAGCGACTGTTCGGAAAGATCCATCTTCGTCATCGAGTCGGTAACAAATGAGCGCATTTGTCGGCCAGCCAGTGGCATTATTTGTGTATTTACTACTTTTACTTGCTTTTTGTTTTGGAATCATTTATTATGATCAAGGATTAGAATGCAAAACTGATTTTAATTGGCATGTTTTTAAATCTTTGCGCTAAGCATATGTATATAAGAAACTAATATAACATTACGGAAATAGTATAAATAGTTGTGTTTTTGTAATGCTAATTATCAGTTCTAAGCCTAAACAAAGTATGAAGGAGAATCGATTTAATTTTAAGACTTCTTAATACTTATACAAGAATCTATGTGTTATTTTGTTCTGTCTTGGCACGGGAATAATTTTATTATATTTTTAAAGCATTAGGCATTTTTTAAATATAGTCGTAACACTATTAAATACTTAAAATGAAATAAAATCTCTCTGAGAATCGATGATGACATGAAGCATTAATTGATTCGAATCTTCGCACTGATTCAGATGCAAATGATCCAGTCTTTAGAAATATACGTTTTTCGCAGTTGGTACAAATAGGGAAAATTCTGACGTAAGTAAATTTGTCATTTGTTAGGTGCATATGGGGACTACTACCGCTTATTGACTCCGGGTCACTACGAAGTGACCGCGAGTCATCCCGGATACTTCCCTGTGTCTCGAGTGGTCACAGTACCACATCACCAGACCTCCGCACACGTGCTCAATTTCAGGCTAGAGGTATGTATTTTTTTGACCATTTTTTAGGAATTGGAAGTATTGGTGGGTTTTCGTATTTTATTAGTAAAACCCATCTCAGAGTACAAAATGGATTTTTAGAGCATTTTCGTTAGGAATATTTTCTAGTATAGTATTCTGAATGCAAAGTTGAACAAATTTAATAATTAAAAAATTTCTTCGGCATTGAATATTGAATGAATATTTCATTAGTCAGATTGGTAAAGTCGTTCAGTTTTGCGTTTGGCAGCACATTCATTAGCAACAAAGATTGTGTGATATGTTACTTATTAAGTTAGTATCAATTTCAATCAATAGACTTATTTCTTTTTATGATTGTTTGAGTTGAACTTCATAACGGACAACGTTCTTAATACTGTTGTTATTATGCAACAGTTTTGATACTAGACGAATTACCGCCAGGCAATTCTTATAACTAAAGTATGTAAATCAAGTTAGGTACAGTCAAACTACAAAATACTGTTGTAAGGTCTTGGTACGTTCATGTTGTTTAAATGGATATTACTAAATAAATGAATCGCGTTTAAATTTGCCGCTTCTGGACAAGGTCTCAATAACGCACTCTATGTTCAGTTCGGTAATAACGTTGAGTGCATTTTAATTCATTCTGATATCAAGGAAATCGATGAGTAGTTACGCGGTAGCTCTGCAGATTGTTTACTTCTGGAGTCCTCTATGTAGGTACAGTATGTGCCGAACATATAAAGAGCTCAATTAATTGAACAAGTTCGTGAATTCAGTGTTGCTCCAATAGTAAAAGTTGTTCAATATAAATAACTTATCCAGCTCACGGAAGTCCTGACATATAATGTTATTACACCTTATATTTTTTTGAAACTAAGTATGTGTGAATTGATCTGAATTCGGTAACTTCAAGACATCGTGAACATAATCGCAAAAAAGTAGCAAAATAAATCAAGCAGCTTCATACTTGTTCATTTTGCACCGATGCTTCGTGTTTTGCCCTTTTCGTATGCTTCGTATTCTTCAAATTATAACGCTAAGGTTTTGAATCCTAAGAATATTTGAATATTGCTATTTCACTCACTTACAAATCCAAACGCTTGCATCGGTTCAATTCTATTACGACGCGTTACGGTTTGATGTCCCATATCTATAAATATCGAATATCGAGCAAGACATCAAAGATGAATTATCGCATCAGTGCATCGGTTATTACGATATTTTTTCTATATCTATATACGATTTGTATCACCCACTGCTATCAGTAATGGGGATATTAGCTTATGGAAATATCCTACGTACGCTTGTCCATTATGGCATCTAGTGATTTCATCAAATATCGATTTGTAGTAATGACGTCAATTGGGGTTTTGTAAACAAATTAGCGGATGCTGGTCTCACTGCAGACAAAACACACGATGGTCTTGTAACAAAGACCGTATGACGTCATATTATGGCAGTTACTCTTCCGCCTTGTTACTCCAAAAAACAAATCGTCTTTCAAAAAGATATTTTTAACAGATAATTTTGTTATTTTATGAACTCAAACGAACCATTTCCAACTGTAAATTGTCTAAACTCTAATAAGGTAAATTGATTGTATATTTTAAGATTATATTCTCATACAGAGATAATATCCTCTTAATTTAATGAAATATGCAGATATTATATTTTTTTGTTAAAACAGGTACTTAGATTTTACACCTGCCATTTTTGTTTCGGATAGGCGGTATAGCTAACTCTTTGATACAGAGTCCATTCTAAAGTCGACTATAACGATTTATCAATCTTCCTCAATAAACGTTTGCATTAAAATGCAATTTATCGTTAAGATAGTAGCTAACGTAAATATTTAGATTGCAAACTATCAATGATTAAGTAAGTAGCATAACCTTACCATCTTTGCAATATCTGCTATGTTTTCAACATATCTGTTGCTCCGGTTTTGTATTAAATATCTGTCAATATGCATTTATTCAACTGTGGCATCGATAGTCGATAAACTAGTTCCACTTAGGAATTTTATTATATTAGTATCGTTATTACGATTTTTATCGTAGAATGCGCTCAATCCTCGTTTGTATTTAATTAAATGACGTCACAGACTACCTACGTGTTTGTTGCGTAGGACAACCAATTGACGCAATACCTCGGGACGTTGACCATTCAATTGGAAATGTGTCACGGGCAATCAATATATTTTCGTTCATTTATAACATATATGCAAAGGAGGGCAGAATATGCCTATAAATAAATACCTTATGAATAATAAGGCGAAGTTGAGTCTGTGCAATATGTTTCTTATACCGTATCTTTGCGTAATAAATAAATGTAGGCATTGTTCATATGATCAAATCACGGAAGATATTATAATAAAACTTGATTTTAATGATTGCCTAAACAAATCTAGTCTTTGATCAAATTGTATGATTGAGTTTAGATTTGTCAAAAATTTGTTCAGTGAATAGATGGATAGATTGTTCAGTGAAATGAATAAAATTATAGAGTATCTACTTATTTAATGAAAGTATTATCCAGGGACCAAGTGGACTTTTTTAAGCATTTTTCATTAAGAAAATATTATGATTTATGTTGGGGACCTTAGATATCTTTATTATTTTACTTTCCCGTTTTTTCAAAGTTGGTGGAGATCGGATTATCAACCAACAATCATTTATAACAATTGGTAATTCGTTTAGTATCAAAACTATTGTATAACAAACATTATAGTATTAGATCTACTTTAAGGCAATTGAAATGTTTATTAAAAACGGACTCGTAGACGTGGAGAAGAATGGATGTAATAAACACTGGCGACCAACCTATTTTAGAATTTATTCATATCTTTTTTTAAGAAAAATATTGCTTACTCTTTTTTTATTAAAGTCAGTCTCATGAGTCTCACTGCTCTACAGAGTAAAGCATATTACATGAATATACTTTATTACTCTTTGATATACCCCGAAACTGTGATTTTTTAGTTCGGTACTCAATACACATCGTATGTTATATGTATATAAAATACTTATGTCATTAAAGTATCTTTAATATATTTTTTTTTAATAGCCAACAACAAGCTGGTTTGATGATGAGACTACATTTGGCGCGTATACACATCAATTGCGTGGAGCTCAACCGCGCATATACAAGAGATCCCTCTATGAGAAAGTAGCGAACACTTTGCTAGAACAAGAAACTAAAAATTAGACTTAATGAAACTCGCTACCGGCTGAATTGACAGGAAATTTTTGTTTAACTCAAATAAGTATTATACAAAATCTTATTTACAATATATAAAAATAGAGAATTACTGTTACATGTATGTGAATGGAAACATAATTTATGATATTTTTATTGATCGGGTATGCATAAAGTGCCTATGCCGCTGTTTAGCTGATAGCAATTTCAACTATAGAACAAAATAAGTGTGAAATGTTACACTCATAAGAATTATGAAAATTATAGCAGATGTATGACATATATGAAGGAAAATGAAGTTGTATAGTGCCATACGAATTTAATTATCACTTTTTTGTTACGAGATGCCTAATATTTTAGAAATTTTAATTAATGCTTTCTCAATTATCTCACTGAAAAAGTATCATTCCATATTTTTTAAGTGAATTCGGTTTGTAAGTGGAAATTGTGAAATTTCAGATATAAAATAATTTATAGCATTATGATTATTTATATAAATGTATATCTATAATTATGTAGCATTGGTATATATGTGAAAAATGAACTGGGAATGTTTGTTTCAATAAAACCATATTTTGAGGGAGTTACCAATATTTCCTTAGATATAGTATATATATGGTACACCGCCTATAGATATATTTATTGGTGTTAAATTCTTTCTAGTCGAGACAGTCGTACACATTGATAGTTTCTGTATATAGCTGTAGAGAGTAGTCCAATTGCAAGCAAATATTTAATGAATTAAGTAAATAAATAAATTACACTAAAAATATATCTATGTATAATATTAAATTGGCAGCTATTAAAACATATCTTGTCTATTTATGTGGAAATTAAATATTTTGTCGGCAAATAACTAAATGAGGTACATATTAATTATTCATATATATTTATCGATCTTCCATTGTTTTATAAATATAAATAATGTTTATTTTTTATAACTATAATTTTTTTATTAAAAGTTATTTTACCAAGCCACTTGTCAATGTAATTAATAAGATAGTGTAAAACACTTCATAAAATAAAGTATCGTGATTTGTGTGCATGAGAGTCGTTTTTTTTTAATAATAATAATAATAATAATAAGGCTTACCTTTTTCAGGGGCGTGTAAATGTATTAGTAAATGTATACTGTAAACAGCTTTAATAATTTTGCCGTAGATTGGCGATCGTCTTAACAATTCTCATTTTATCGATTATTGGAACAAGGATTTGTATCACGATTGCCAGATTTATTTTTCAGCCTAAAGGGACAAATGCTTAACGATGCAAAAAATACCGAATAAAATTTTGTATCCAGAATAAACAAAAAAACAAATTATTTACTTATAATTAGATTTTTTAAAGAGGAACGCGCATGTTTTATCATATTTTTATTGGATTTGACATATGTAAAAGTCATGGTTAAATAAGTTCATTAATTCGCTTTTAATTTACTTGGGGAGTATGTTTATTTCGTAACATTTTAACACCATTTGTTAAATCGATTTGATATACTTACGGGACAAAGTCGGTACCGGCGGGACATTTGAGTTTTGCCTGATATATAGGGCGTCATGAATACTCCACGAGAATTGGTTTGGACAGATATTATGATAGGTTGAAACAGCAGAGTAAGATTATCGATGTCGTCACGACGGAGTCAGCAATGAGTAGATCGTATTGCACGTAAGGCCTTCATGGAGTAAATTTCCTTGAGTGGTGACCATGGAGCTGTAGGATCTGAAATTGGATTGTCCTCCTACTGTCAACTGGTAAGGGTGACTAATGGGTAATTGTCATCCTACAAATTGGGTATTGATAAGCCTGGAACCGAGAAGGTGTAGGTGTGTTTAATTAATGCAGGTTGGAGGTCGTATTCTGTATATGTATGTTTCATAGATTTTGTCAGCACGGCGTAGGACTTCTTATAATTGGAAGCTAATGTATAGCATTAGTTTCATTTTTATGATCAGCGGCCTCCTGTGCTTTGGGTTGAGGATATAAAACGGACCATTGAGAAGGTCAATGCGGGTTGCACAAATTTTTACTCACTCATTTAAAAATATATGTCATTTCACTGGATTTATCAAGCCAATAAAACTATTTAGATATTTAGTTATATATCTTTATTTCACACATACTTATGGGAAAATTAAAATATTTCCGTTAATGAAAATATAATTTGGATGATGTTCAATCATATAATACCTAACTCGTTAATTGAAATTTTCTAGCTTAGGAAATTTGTAAATAGTGGTACCTACATCTGGTATTGGCTGAAATGAATTTTATCTACTATTGTATATATAAACTCGTTTCAATTTGAGCTGCGACATAATACCACTATTTTAGAAAGGTATTTCACACACAGACACACTTAATAGATGAAAACACACGATTCATTTATATAGGTTACCAACATAATACTTAGGTATTAATTAATTTATTATTCTTACATATAAGTACGTACCTACTTAAATTATAAAATTATTCACAGGTATGATGTGGTTTATGTCGTCAAAGTTCGAATGTCACTAAAATTACTTTAAGTTAAACGTGGAATAAAAACTAAATACTTTCACTAGTAAATACACACCTAATTCATACTTTTTATTGTGGTTGCCTATAAGAAAAAGTAATTAAATTTTACTTTAATAGTAAAAATGCTCCAAATTGTACAAAAGACATCCAGTGATGTATCTTATTTATACGAATAGTTATGAAAAGTATGAACTGGCCATTGTAATTACTCAACTTAAAAGCAACTGCAATTTGACAATATTTCTATGTATAATTGAGACTGCATAATAAAAACTATTTTACACATTATTGCCATATAGAAGGTACCTACAATATTTAATTATAAAAACTTAATAAATATTTGAAAACTTGCTAGAGTTAGAGCTTTAAGAATTATAAATTTATTATACATAATTGGACGGATTCGTTGCATCGATCAGGTGATGTTGGATAATATACCAACTTTAAAAATATATGAAGGCTCATAAAACCTTAAGGTACATATGTATGGGAATACAATGGCACGAGTTAATAAAATCATATGAAAAATATAAGTAAATTCATCTCTTAAAAGGTAACATTTCTATAGGATTTACACTAGGTATATAATAATATATATTCATTTCCACTTTCATACATAGATTTTGCCTAGGAGCACCATTATTTAAGCAGTTCATAGAAAAACGTTCCAACTATTAAATATACCTATTTTGTTGTATATACAGTTTATGTTGATCGAAATAACATTTCATTTCAGGCGGCTATAATTTGATATTCAACGTTTTCATATCAGGTCGATTCAGTGCCTATTTCTGTGCATGCCCGAGTGTCGACTCCCCGGTCTTGATTGTACTATCGCGTAGTGGTCACTGTTATCCGATACCGACCTGAAAGTAATATAACATTAATAATATATTTTGTGATTACTCACTCGATGGTGCTTAGCTCTCTAGCCATGACTGGTCATAGGGTACGATATCGTAGCGATGTTATGGCGATTATTACTACTTTAACATGTAAGAAACGGAGAAATTCTGAAAATCACGAATTACCTCCAAAACAGGCATATTCTTTTTTCAATTTTTCAAATAAACTAACTCAACCGTCTGTGAATAGAGTCGAGATTTGGCGGGGGCATCCCATCTGCCATAACAATTGAATTGCATGTCTCAAAAGTTTTTCCATACGAAGTCTGCATTGCGAATGTTTGATTTATATCTAGATAAAATGATAAAACTTCTTCCTTTTGTAATATAATGTCCCTTAGCTATGATCCTATCAATTAACTTGTGTCTTATATGTAGATAATAAACGTATAATTGAACACTATTTATTCTATAATAATAGTATTAAGCTTGTAATAATACATGAATAAAAAAAAAAACGACTCGTTTAACAAATGTCGCAGGAAAATATCTTTCTTTTTAGGTATTTTTTTCATATTTACATAAAATAAACATAATCAAATAAAAACATATTTTCTAAATAAGTTTTCTTTGATTAGTAAACAATTTAAAGAAAGCGTGAAACACAGATTTTGTTGCATTTTTTTTTATATTGTGTTATTTATTAAATTGTATCTTGACGAATATTATCTCTTTTTGATCTCAGGTCCCCGCAGTAACTATTGATATATTCCCGTGTCTTTAAAAGTACACTTTGAAGTATTAAACGATATCAAAGTGTATTGGCAACAATTATAATTGATAATTATCAATTATCTATGACAAGTGTAAATTAAAACACGAACATTATTGCAGTTAAAAATCGTAAGTTCTTACTTTTTTGTTTATTACCATAAAATGTGTTCTATATAATTTTCTTAATTTGAAAATGCGGAGAACGATTAAGAATAAGATAGAAACATAGTTTGGTACGGTACCTACGTTACGATGATCTTCTGGCATGCACGATGAGAGAAGAGCATGCACTGTTAGTGTGTTTGAGCTTACCTAGTCGAATGTATAGTGGACGATGGGTACCTGCTTCCGTACTGGCTGCCGTGCCAGCTGCGGTAAGGGTCGTAGTCTTCCACCACTGACGGGTCCTTTTCGATAACCTTCAGATATAAATGTTCATTGTTTATTTTAATTTCTAAATACTTCTTAGTTTGTACGATTATACAATAACAGTCCTGCCCAGTGGCGGACTAACCTCATCGTAGGTCCGAGGCAGAAACTTGATATTGCGTATACCCTTACCCCCCCTTGGCATATATTTTAACTTTATTCTATTATTATTCGATTTTGGCAGATAGCTCCAGCCCAAATAATACCTTACAGTATATTACTAACTAGCTTTCGCCAGCGGCTTCGCCCGCGTGGTGGTGGCCCCCTAGAGAAATGTTTTTAGTGGGATAACAAGTATGCTATTATCTAAGTCAGCTAATGCCTTATATGTATACCAAATTTCATCAAAATCCGTTCAGTAGTTTCGGCGTGATTGACGGACAAACATCTAAACATCCAAACAAAGAAACTTTCACATTTATAATATTAATAGGATATCCGAGGTTTGAAACACATAGGTATCCATTCTTGTTATCCATGGTTTATAAATTATACGAAACAGTAAGTAAATAAATATACTCACATCAGTCCTGGCGCAGGAGCAGGTCATGGCGGTGCAGAGGAAGCAGTTGATCAGCAACATAACCACGAACATCACTCCCAAGGCAATAGCCAGGTAGAGTAACCATAACGGTCTGATACCAGTCTCCGAACACATAAAGACTAGAACAGAAAATATCCCTTTCATTTTCTTGAATTTTCGAATGACGCTACTGTAAAGAGGTTGTAATAAGGAGTAAAAAAATCAAAATAATTACGCGTAAAATCATGTATGTGATGTATAAGACATATACATATAAGTCTCACCGTTTTTTTTAAGTAACATTAATTTTCTTTTTTTGAACTAGTGATTAACTCGTCGGTATGAAGGTGTCGCTTCGATCGGATTCTTCGATTTTCGATCCGGTCAATGGAGAAACTTTGTTTTTTTTTTAGATTTCCATAATCAATAATGGTTTGGTTAGTTACTAAGTTTCGGATCTGCAGTGCTGTTTTGTTAAAAAATAGAGCGTCGAACATTATAAAAGGTGTTACATGATCTGTAAACTTATGTAACAACTTTGTATTTTGTGACGTGCAATAAATCAATAAATGAATATCTACATATGAGTAGAGGTTTAATTAAATAAGACCGACTTCAAAAGGTAATAAAGGTTTTATTTGATGGAACTTCTAATGCTACGATAAGGCTGTCCGAAGCTGCGTTAGACCACAGTATGGTGTATATGTACAGAACCGCAAAGTCGAACAATCAAAATAAGAAATTCGTTTAATTTTAATTTTCACTTACAAATGATGAAAGCATCAGGTACTTTTTAAATTTGAAATTTAAACATACCTGCGTTGTCATTAGGGTCCAAAACGAAAATACCCGTAGAGGCGGTCACTAGAGCCTCTTCGTCGCTGGGGTCATTGCGCCCATCCGCTGAGCAATCCACTGGCATGCAACTACCTACAAGTTTTGTAAAATACGTAAATAAGTTATATGCGTGTCTTATCAGATAGATTTTTTTTTATTCAATTCAAAATATGTAAACTTGTCTGTAATTTAAAGCACATTTAATCATACACTTTTTTTTAATTTTAACGATTCAAGATAAAGTTCGTTAGTATCTAGTTATGTAATGAAAAGGAGGTACCTAACTAAAAAGTTGTAAAATTAACATTTAAAATAAATTAATGCATACTTAAAAAAATCTTAAAATTTTCTTAATTCCTAAAGAAGTATAGCGTCTATTTATATATTTAGTTTTTTATGAGATATTTTACCTTTGCATACTGCGACGTCACACTGTAAATTGACCTGTGAAGAGTCTGGAAACCTGAACATAGAAGCTATGGTGATCTCTGTAGTACTGCCTTCAGACTTCACTGCTAATGAATCTTTCACGGGACATCTAAAACAGTTTAAGTATAGGTAAATAATATTTATTTGGTTCTCAACGAATAGCAGAAAATTGAGAAACTCCGAGAAATTACATGGATGAATACCATAATTCCAGAATAATATATATGTTTCATAGCTGCCCAAATTAATGGAAAATATTATTTTAAAAATTATTTTAAGTCAATTCATTTATTTATGAATTAATATATAGGTACTTAAAGTTCCGCTGTTTTAGAGAGGATAAATTCTGAAAAAAACAATAAGAATACGTTTCAATGAGGGATACCGGTTTTTGCTCACCAGACGGCGTGGCAGTCGTTAGACGTCCTGTGGAACTTTGTTACTAAAAGCATGAACGTAATACATAAAAAACCAATTTACCTATAAAAAATATAATGTGTATGTCCAACAAACATTAACTATACTACTACTCGTAGTAATAAACACTGACAATAACTCTTCATTAGGTAGCTGTTCTTTCAATCAGCTTAATTTTATACCTCTTCTTAGCTCCGTTTTCAGAGAAACGACATTCATTGACCGTAATTAATAAATTTTTTAATGAATCTCTTGTACCCCAAAATAAGCACAACATTTGTTTAATTGAAATGAGCCGCACGTAGCTCACCTACATAGTATGATAATTCACATTTGAAGACCTTGCTCTACACTAGCGCCTCTGGTGGCAATTTCAAACGGGTTATTCCCCATTGCAATGTATTTGTAAGCGACTTCTATGTATATACATGTTTGCATATAGAAGCTTTTGACTGCCCAGTAGGGCTATAAATGGAAATAAATTTAGTGTGTTTTAGCGATATAAATAGGGCGCTTAGACGAGTTTATTGCCTGAGGTTTATGTCAAAATTTTGCTTACCCTCTGCTGTCAAGAAGGTCCAGAGTGTTAGTACGTTGGTTAAATGCGAAACAATTCTTCATCCTGATGCCATGTGTTCCTGAAAGTAAAAAAAAATTAAGTAGATAGGTACATTTTATTATATTTTTTTATAAAAATAGGTTTTGCTTTCAAGTTGGGTATAATCAGACGGATATTACCTACTTCATTTATACGACAATATCACATAGGTCAAATTTAAAATGACATAGTTTTTAGCACTCGTATTATGGAAATAGAAACATCGAAGGTACTTTAACATTCAGACCAGTGACAACGAAAAAGTTCATTTTCCACATTGATCCTGTTAGAAATCGAAACAGAGACCTCTGAGATGACGATACTTTCCAGTCGGGTTGCAAGCCATTTTGCCACAGATATCAAAGTATAAGGAGTTGAGTTGTCCCTAGCTCCTGTAGCTTATTTAAATTGTTATAGGTGCTAACCGGTGGAGCGTCTAGGTTAGGTTAGTTTAGGGGCTTCAATTTTTTTTTTCATTTATTTAAGGCTACAAACAGTCATGTACATAGAAAAATAAATTATTGTAAATTATTGAAGTTATAATAGACCTATAGTGGCTATAAAATGTAACAATAATATAATTGAGCTCCTATGTTTGTCAAATTCAAACGTTACAATTTTGTTTTATAAATTTGAGAATACAACAACATTAGGAGGACATTATCATATATTAAAATATGCTATGTACATACATAAGTTAACAATATTGGAATAAACAAAGCAAAAGAAAGCACTTTTATAATTTTTTGTGTTTAAAAGTGGTTCAAATCATCACTTTTTATATTTTTTAGCAACACTTAAACACGGAACTTATCTTTTCGTGACGGCAGCGCCACAATATTAGCGATGTAATAGCGCTTGTCGTTTCCTTTTACTATAAATAGTTTGACTCAAAACTTATGAATACACGAGGTAAATAAAGAAATAACTTATTTATAAATTTTTGATAATCAATTTACTTTTATTACAAGAGAAAGAAAATCAGGACGCATATAAATGTTTCATAATTACATTAATGTAAGTATATACTACTTACATTAATTTAGTTTTTGAGAACATTTTTTTTAAAGTTTCAACCAAAACCCGCATTCGTGTCGGCATATTGTTCTCTATCTATTAAATAACAACAACAATAAAATACTAGTTTTTTTATCTGTACAATGGACACTTGGCCCGAGTATCGTAGCGCTTCGAGTCATTTCACTGAGGTATGAAGTTTGTTTATATTATGATGGTATTGTATTTGAATAATCCTAAATAACCGCGTACCAGGCACGATCCTCCTGACTTAAAAGATCACCATTTTTAGGCTTTTCTGTCTCCGACCCATTTCTAAGTATCAGCAGAGAATGCCGGGTACTGACCAGTTCAATTGTGATCAATTCCACAGATCCTCAGAATCCATATGTCCTTCTTGATCCTGATCTTTATCTCTGTATGCTTTTACTGTTCATTAGCGTATGAATCTAGTCGCGAATACTCCTCTATTAGTGCGGTTGCTTCGGAACCTCTAAATTTCCGCTGGTGCTAGATCTTGTCTTGAGGGCTGGTTTAAGGATATTTTTTTATGTATAAAGTGAAGTTAGCCACCAACAGGGAGCAAACTGTTGCTCGACGTTTACATTTAGTGGCGGAGGCTTCTCATTTATCACGGAACCTTTCAAATCGCGTGTCAGAAATCTCGGTCTTAATGGCTCTCTTGGGAATTTTTACAACATATTATTAATCGCCGATTATGCATGGGTAAGTTAGTTACAATAATCGGAACCACTGTCGGCATCAGGTTAGCTATTTCGAAAAGTGCTAACAAATATGGATGTCAGGATTCTGAAATTTCAGGATCATCAAACCTACACAATACATTGCGCTAGATTTTATAATTAGACAATTACGCCACCGGTGGATTTTGGGTGTTGTGACCTTTGTTTTTTTCGAATTGCCACAATAAAAGATTACAACTGTAAATAAGCTACTATTTCGGGGAATATATGTGACATTGTCTAATGTTTATTTTATTGAAAATAACGAGGTAACATTTCCCAAAGACTTCAAAAGCAAAAGGTAAAGAAACTGTAAAATTCAACAATATTTTTTTTTTGTTACTCGTACATATCACACCCTAAACCTACATTTTTAAGTAAACGTGCGAATTATATTCGCGTCAAACTGTGACAAAAGTCATTATATAATAATTTCAATGGGTTAACGAGATTCTCTATAATCAACTATTCTTATTGTTTTTTTTACAGTATGAGCAGTTTTGAAGCGATTCAATTTGCAGAGGTCCAAAGGCCAATATGAGGTTCATTGGGTGATATTTTATTCATTGGGTATCGAATAGGTTCCAAAACAACTGGACCGATTTTAAAAATTCTGAAGAATTCTACAGGAAGCTGCATTAAACGTCGATGACATAGGTAAAAAGTAACTTGGTCGAAGTCGCGGGAAAACATATTTATAATAAATTGATAAACCATATTTACCATCGGACTTGCTCAACTCTGCTCTGAGTGTGTACGGCATACCGAATGCGACGTTTGTTACTTTACGCCCGTCTGGATTCAGCATTCGTAGAGACACTAACGATGTTTCATTTCTGGAATTAAGGATAAAATTGAACATTGAATGAAGTTCATTACAAAGGTTTTATTGTTGAATTTGTCGAAGTATAAATAAAAAAGTTTATAATATATAGTGGTAATTATCATTGCAGCATTGAGTGCACTTATTTCTGTAAAATCTGTTTAAATCTTTCACAAGGTACTGAAACTAAACGTGTACATTAGAATATATGTTTTCATTTTGTTGAGTAGATAAAAAAGATGTTCTGCATACTTTTTGATGTACATCTGATCCCTATATACATACTTAAATAAATCTAGTTTTATTATATCATAAAAGTTACTTGGCTTAATAGCTTTTAACAATAACGAACGAGTTGAATAGGTTGTGGAATTTACATTTAAATTTCTTTTTATTTTAGTTTACAAACACACTTACTATTTATATAGCAAATATTAATAATAAAATAAAACTAATGATTAATATTTTCTTTTTGCCTGTGAATTATATAATACATATTTTAATGACTCTCTTTCCAATTGCAAATATATTCAAAACATATACAAAGTTTTACTACAAAATATCAAGAAACAAAAAGTTGTCATATTTTAAGACGTTGCGGTGCGCAGGTTGGGGCGTATATTGAAGTTTTTTCTCTTTAATTGCCCATTAAAATAATAGGTTATCTCTTTCGCACTGTATACTGCGTGAATTCCCCGAATCAAAAGGTCTGATTTAACTTCCGACACTACGCTGTAAGAAAAATTTAAGAATCGAAATATCTTATATGAACATCAGACCTACTTTGAAGGTGTCATTCCAAGATTACAAGAGGTAATAAATCGCAAGTAAATATCAGTTGTTTTTGCTCTAAATTTATGTGGACATCGGATTTTATTAATCAATTAATTTTGTAAATAAAAGAGATAATGATTAGAGCTAGAAAGAGTGAAAAAAAATTTAATATGTTCTAGAACAAAAATAATTTTCGCAATTATTGGACATTCGACCAGTTGGCTCTGATGTACAGAATTAATATCGACATTCTGTTTTCAATTTAGAATGAATCTCGTTTGTAATAAAGATCAAACCTGGAATTTCTGAATCCAGCCTTGCCGCAAGTGATGAAGAACATTTTGTCGTCCGCCAGTTCCAGAGTTCGATGTACTCGAACAGCAAGCGGCAGGGATCGCTCATCAGTACGCTGTTTAAAATAATAAAAAAATTAGCTATCATCGTTAGCCCATTAATTAAATACTACTGATTGTATTATATTATAGTATAATGATTCGAACAAATTTTCGTATAAATCGGAAGTTTAAAATATTTGTAAAATATTTATTTCGGCTATTTGGGTGGACTGCTTGAACATTGATGAAAATGCGCTTTGGTTAGCTCAGTGGTTAGAGCAGGCGTCCGGTTAGCGAAAAGTCGTGGATTCAAGTCCAATCTCGGAGTAACTGGAACTGATGAATTTTTAGGCATTTTTATAAACAATAAATACTGCTGGGTTAAAGGTATTTCCCGTGAAAGGTGACCCCCTTGTGCAGGCTAATCGGGCTTTAATTTACTATTCAGATCCGACTCAGATCGGTCGATTGCGGTTATCGTTTAGTTCATAGAGGTTCAATCAAATAAAATCTACTTCAAAAAGTAATAAATATTTATTTCATATTTTGTATGCTCTATATTTTGTCAACGCTTCGCTTGACGTTGAGTTCGAGGCTGATTTATTACAGCTGAGTGACTATTTAAGCATGGAGGAACACAAGACAGTAAGTTTTTGGTCACCAATCTGATAAAAATACCTTTTCAAAATTACTTAACCGACGCAATTGCATAGTTACGACGCAATCGATTAGATACCTACGTTATTGAGCTTTCTTTATTATATAGTTTATTTATTTTTGTGTCTTTCACACTAATTACATTTTCTATATTAAATTGTAAAGAGAAAATATGTGATTATTTATTTGCATTCAATATGCTTAACTAATAGACTGATTTTAAATAATCTTTCACCCAGGGGCTTCCCCTCGCTTATTTTACGCGTAAATGGGTGACATAGGCTATAATTTACGCTGGTTGAATTAAGGGAAAACTAGTAAACCATCATTTAACTTACATTATTCCATACCACACCACAAAAATCTGGTGAGCCTTTTGGGGCTTCCATGTTGATGTCCAGTGCAAGGGTTTCAGCACCTGTACCCTGCACTTTACATGCTGGCGTTCTGTAACACACAACGCGGAAACAGTAAGCGCTTCGTATTTTTTCATATGAACTTTATGGTTGGGTTTCATCTTCGGTTTCAAGATATGGTGTTGTCCGAGATCCACGCTCGATTCTTGGTCGGGTAATCTGATACGATTCATTTCAAAACAAGTATATCAAACGTTTCTTTTAAAAGTTCTCTTGGGTTATTATTCACAATTCGTTTATTATTATTCACAATTTGGGTTATTATTATTCACAATTTGTTGTTTCAGTTTTCCACAATACAACCACTTAAGCTAGATACTGTCCGTTGCATAAACGTCCATTAGTTTAAAGCGATATTACTGATACAAATTTTAAAAATAGTACATCCATTGAGCTTAGTCGCCACGAAACTTTAATGGACGTTTGTGCAACTAGGTTAGTTTGGGATTTATTTAATTTAAGTATGAAATTTTATGCCATATGATATAGTAGTTTTCTATTTGGATGCCTTTGCCGTATTTATTTTGAAGAATATTTTTTTTTTAAACAAAATAAATATTAGACATCACCATTCTTACTCAGACCCAAAATCAAGTAGCAAAACCACTGTCATTATGGAAATCTGAAACAATAAAGGTAAGTACCACAACACCCAGATCAGAAACGATATAATAAACCGACTGGGGATGAAATTGATTGGGGATGGACCTCAAAAATAGCGATACCGATGTATCAGCCACTCGGCTACGGAGGTCGTCAAAATAATGCTTAGATTAATTACTTTTTATACCACCATCTCGGAAAGGGTGTTTCTGTTCATCGTTATCCGAGAGCAAATGTCGTTTTTGTCCGCTAGATGATAAGTAAATTGAAATAAGAACTTCATGTGCAGTATGTTTATTTGCGAATTTAAAACATCATGAAACCAATTTATTTCTACCTCAATGGTATCGAATTTATCATACTCAGACGCGGAACATTCTTTGAGAACTTTTTTAAATTTGATTTAAGCGCGCCAGTTGCTCTTCCTTTTAAAGTTTTTTGTTTTAAACCTTAGGTTAAAAACAAAAAAAAAAATGAAAACAAGAGAAAAGTTGCCTGAAATGGTTAATAGTGCGCAATGAATCTTCTGTCTTAATAATCACACGTGAAGTATTTGAAACAGTACTATCTAAAGGAGCCAAAACTTTCTCAGAAAACGTTTTTCTGGTATATTTTATTGAATAATTACTATGGAGCATGTCTCAATGAGCACGCAGTTAAAAAGCAACTTTGCACTCTTGTATAACAAATTTGTAACTATAAAAAACATCAGGTTTTTAGTGAATACTGGGACCAGGTAAATAAACATTTACCTAGTCTAGTAATAAATTCTGTTACTGGCTGTTTACATACATTAGAAAAAAACATTAATTTGATTTTCAAACTTTACCTTCTACGACAAAAAAATTGACTTCTTTCTCGGCATTATTGTATGTTTTTTGTTTAGAAATTATTTGTTTTGAAAATGGACAGGGTCGCTAAAGAGAATAGGATTGCAATAATCAGGAAGTATTTAAAAAAAACACTAAAAAAGTACCTCCACTAGATGGCGACTCTAGCAAAAGTTGACTTTTGCAGGAAACGAATGGACCGAAGACAGTCATTTCCGTTCCTATTAACTAACATATAAAAAAAACTGAAATTTTAAAAGTGCAAAACTTAGATATTATTGATATACGAAAAAGTGCAAATAGAATATGAGTTGTTTATTGAGTTTTGAAAACTTATTTACTTTTAAACATGAAAGAAAACTGGAAAGGTTGTTATGGAGAAATCAAGAACGTAGCGTGGCGACATCTAGTTAGATTTCGGAAACGGATGTTTTTTTTTAAATACTTCCTTATTGCACTGTACAAAGTAGGTAAAGAGCCAGCCGACATTTTTGATACATTGAAAAAGCTAGGGATTATTTGAATGTTTGTGTATCGCACCATCCAAAGGTACACTGAAACCATGTCTGTTGATGACCGTGAGAGATCTGGCCAACCGCGGTCTTTTCGAACAAACCAGGCCGTTAATGCAGTCAAGGCCAGAATTCGTCGAAATCCCATAAGGAAGCAGAAAATCCTTCTTACAGAAATGAGAATCCTATCGAGGAGACTTTCTTGGATTATCAAACAAGACGTAGCTCTAGGAGCTTAGGCACGGGACATACCTTATTCATACCAATTCAGGCACTAAAACAAAAGAGAGTCGAAAGATCAAATCATCTGTTACTTCGATACGCAGACGAAAAACATTGAAAAATTCCCTTTACCGATGAAAAAAATTTTACAATCGAGGTGCACTACTTCATGGTTTGCTGGGGTGTCTCCTCTCCTACCAAGGGGTTACAAAACATTTTTGAGAAAAAGGTAAAGGTAAGTTAAGTGAAATCTTCAGACAAAGTGTATCAAGATACCGTGTTAGAAGCGGTAGTTAAACCTCTCAACAACACCTTATTCAAAAACGAAGTGTGTACATTCCAACAGAATTCAGCCCCGGGTCATAAGGCGCACACTACCCAAATTTGGCTTGAGCAAAATGTTCCAGACTTTGTAAAGGCTGATGATTGGCCTTCGGCTAGTCCGGACTTAAACTCTTTGGACTATAAATTATAGTCTGTGCTAGAGGACATGGCCTGCTCTAAGCGTCACCCAAATATTGAGTCGCTCAAGAAATCTTTGGAGGCAGCAGTGACCAAGTTTTCAATGGAAACCGTTCGTCAATCCATCGATGAATGGCCCGACCGTTTAAAAGCGTGCGTTAAAGCTAAGGGTGGACACTTTGAATAACTAGTTTAGTACGTTAACATATTTTTTTCATTCTATATAATCACATATAAAACTTTAAAATAAAATTATTTTTTTAGAAATTATCGGATATTTTCTTTGTAACAGAACTTATGGCTAGACTAGGTATTTCTATGACTCGGACTATTATTTTGCTATTACCTGAATTCCTTAGCGTGTGCAACTCCGTTGAAGGGCTGGTTGAAGGTTATTTTTATTGACATTATACCAGATTTGCACGTGGCATTCACCACCGGTGAAAATTCGCTCGTTTCTTCCGCATTCTGCAGACAAAAAGAGTAAATATGTTATTGTTTTCGTCATCGGCTAAGTATAAGGGCCTACTTTATGTCCTTATCCTTAGCCACATTAGTATCATTAAACTTTTATGGACGTTTGTGATGAAGGTGACGTGAAATAAAGGTATAGTGTAGTTTGCCAATTAAAAAAAAAAAACTTATTTACCCCTCAAAAGGAGCCTACATGTTTCAAATTTATTTATTTATACTGCACAATCGCGTTTACATAAGTGTATTATATATGCAAATACAAGGTAGATTTATAATATGGGTCAAGTCAGTATAATTCAAAGAAAAAACAAAAACATTTAGAGCGGTGCCCTAATGTGCCTAATTGAATCTTAGGTTTATGCATTCTAAGTAATTCAATATACAGTGCAGCTACGTTCGATTCAACGATTTCCTGTTCAGTCTTCTGCAGTTCTATTTATGTAACAATACACATCATTCGCGTGTTGCATTGGCATCAGCTATGAATATGATGTTTATTGGCATGCCATTACCGCGAATAATACGTGTTATTATTTTCATTAGATTTTATTTCACACTTTACAGTAATGGTTCCATTAAGAGGTACTTTTACGTACACTTAAGTAAACTAATAAACTGCATTAAGCAAGATTTTCTGTTGATTGTACAAAAAAATAATATACGTAAAAATATTTTTAAAACATTTCAATGGTTAATTACATTTTTCATAAGTATAGACCTAGAAAGTTTTTTAATTGAATTAATTAAGGCTAAGGTACTGCTACCTACTGTTTTTGATCACTGAAGCGCAAAATATTCTGCCGAAATACGTTTGAATTACATTCTTCTGTTATTGATCAGATCAGTTAATCAGCGACTACGTATGCCAGTCGTTTTTTTAGGCAGTTAAAAACCATGGGCCTTATTAGGCGACAGAACAAACAAGAGCAAGAAGTGTGAAAGAAAATTATCTATATCTAGTATTTATCTAGTATTTATCTATATACTAGTATATAACTCAAAGGTGACTGACTGACATAGTGATCTCTCAACGCATAGCCCAAACCATTGGACGGATCAGGCTCAAATTTGGCATGCAGGTAGATGTTAGGATCCGCTAAGAAAGGATTACGATCAATTCTAACCCCAAGCGGATAAAATAGGGGATGAAAGTTTGTATGACACTTTGTCAATTTTAAACCGATCGGGCTGAGACTTTGCATGCATAAAGCTACTATGACGTAGGCATCCCCTTAGAAAGGATTTTCATAAATTCCACCCCAAAGGGGATAACATAGGGAATGAAATTTGATATCAGGTATTTTACACGATATAATTAATAAATATTCGTTAGAAATGCTGCTCAAAGTAAATTTACCACGCGGACGAAGTCGCGGGCAAAAGCTAGTATATATATACATATGTATATCCTTAGTCACGACTGGAGAAAAAAAATATGATGGTTCGAATTTCGTCGGGTTAGCTAGTTTATAATCAAAATTTAATTATCAATTTATTGAGAAAATAAGTATTCAAACGTGATTATTGGGACTAGGAAGTTATCAGAGTAGATCGTGTGGATGGGATCGTGCGCGCGTAGGGTTGCCAACTGTAGACACTATTATAGTATTGGACACACGTCACGCCAGACCATACATTGTGGAATTTGTACCGACTGCGCTTCATATAGAACTTCCCTACTAACAGAATTCTACTATGAACGGTATGAAATATAGAGTAAGAAAAAATATTATATTTTCAAAACTAAAATCTAAAAAGTTTATTAAGGCGTCTAATAAATTAACTTTTGATCAATGCGGCAGCTCTGATAGATAGCTTATGTAAAGCTGGTAAGTTTCCTTTATCAGTGAAATGAAATACCAGGTAGAAAAATAATTGAATTAATCAAAAGGTAAATAAGTTCAAAAGCTTTTTTAAAAAAACCAAATTGAAATAAAATACAACTGATTTCTTAGCAATTATCATATTTAATGTACTATATATTTTTTTATAAGTATACTATATTTTGCTAAAGAAATTTTGCCAACCCTATGTAGGCGTCGCTTGGGGCCGCGACCCGCGAGCGTTGCGTTTGCGCATCCAACTCTGTTGTTCCTGTAATACTTTGCCTTTAGTCGTGACAGATATTCTTACTTTGAATGTGTGTACTTTGTTCGACGACAGGCATACTGGGGTCAATTCACTTTTATGTCTGATCTTTTCTAAATTATACGTATGGTAAATATTCCCAACAATTACGATTCAAAGAGATGAGATTATTTATGATTTAAAAGCGTAGGTTATTTGTTTTTGCATTAAAAAAATAATAAACCGATTGTTTGTGTAAAATATAATATAGTGTCTCAGTATTGTTTTTATTTAACATTCTTATTTGCAGTTGTTTATTGGTAGAGAATACCGAATTATGCCATTTCCTCTATAACAATAAATAGAGATTATAAAATAAAAAGAAACATTTTTATACCTGGTATAATACATATAACATTTGTTATAAATATAAATTTTACTAATAAATACTTTTACGACTGAATCATGCTCGAACTATTTTATTTGTACTATATTTATTGTAATAGAATAGACTAAAAACCGCAATTATGCAAAATATTCTCAAAAAAATTATAAAGTTAATTAAGTACCCAGATAATTCTTACATACTACAAAATTTTAATTCTTCTTATAATCTAATTCTATGTCGTTAATAATAATACATATCTATGAGATATTTTTTATAATAATACCTGACATAGATACTTAAGCTTCTTAATAATTTACAAGTAATTAATTAAAAGTAACGTTACTTATGTGCTTCGAGAAATGATTTCACCTTTGTGTTACTCCAGTCATTATCAAAAACATGTTTGTTGTTAATATCCTTTTGCTGATGTAAAAAAATCGCTTTTTAAACAACTGCCGTCTAACTAATTAGATTAACTGTATATTCGTCGTGTATTACAGTAACACCAATATTAACTTCCTGATATATTTAACTGTTTTAAAACTAGTTACCTTGAGATTAAATACGATTTATTGACTATCATAATTTCTTGTTTTTGGTAAGTAGATCAGTAATATATTTCCCACGGATAAGTAGCCGAATAAAAATACCTTTTATCTACTTAAGTACAATTTATAAAAGTACTACAACAAATACGAATAATTATTAAATGCTAAGCCAGTACAATAATTGTTGTTTCCTTGGCCACCAATAAAATAATTTGAACGAAAACGGTATGATGCAGTCTTCCTTATAATAATATTTATGACAGAAAGACGCTATAACATGAACTGTTTGCCTACAAAGAATAGTGAGTTGTGGAGATTTATATATGTCGTTGTTGTAACGGTCTGATAACCGATTGCTCTGTTATAGAGACAGCAATGTAGAGTTATTTGATACTATTCTATGTTACCGTGGCCTGGATTCTCCTCAACAATAAGTAATGCTTATTGAGTACAAATTATATTAAAAATAGAACGCAAATTATAATTAAAGTTAATGTCGGCGTGCTTTTATCAGGGCCATCAGAATTTATAATAGCGTTGTTAATCTTATATCATTGCAATCATTCGGCAGTTCCGGGAAGAGGCGTTCGAATTTATTCACGTAGTCGTAACGTAATTAAAATGAAGTTATAGTAATTTTTAATACATTTTCTTGATAATTAAATTATTAATAAAGCTGTGTATGTGTTATTACGCTCTAGTTTGTAAGACGCAATCCTAAATATTACAAACAAGCTGTTTTGCTGTGACTTCACCCGCGTATGTTATAGCCTATGTCACCCTCGTATGATGTAATTTTCCGTAGGTAAAATATTTTTTAAACGGCGCCGTTATTTAGGAGTCTATTCAATGCAAACAAACACAAACAAATCTTTCCTTTTTATAATACAAGTATAGGTATAATAATGTTACGTTAAAACGCTTTTACAGTGTATCTTCCATTGGAATTAATTGACTGATCGGTCTAGATCGTGTCTTTTTATGTTAATAATATTAAAGAGCTGTTTTATTAGGTTCCTGTTTATCAATATATGAGGCCTAGAATGCTTATCTTGACTCCGAGAATTTCTTCTACGAAATATCTATTTCGGTACATTTATTTACACTTTTTTGAATAGGAAATACTCATTATCTTACTAGTGCCAATTATTTTTTATTATGCTCTACGGCTCTGTCATTCCTTGTCTTGTATTATGGTAATCTGAACAAAGGTACAACAACACCCAGATCAGAGACAGTATAGAAAAGTTTAGTTTCTGACCAGAGACTACAAGGATGGTAACACCTTTAAAACAACGTGAGAACCAATCGGTCACAGAGGTTTACTAGATACAGCATACGCGGGTGACAATTTTGCGGGGGAAGAGGCGGTAAAGCAGCTAGTCTATTAATTAAAAAATATATACCAGCTGTTTTTCCGCGAATTACCAGTTAAAGTTATTACTTAAGCAAATAATTTTAACAAATAAAAATTTAAATAAAGTAATAACTGTTAACAGTACGAATACTATTATTATAAGCAATTAACAATTGTTACTTCATTCAAATTCTTGTTTATAAGTTAATTATATTTGCTTAAATAATTACTTTTACTCGACCGAGTTATGCATAACGTTATAGATATAGCTTTAATGTTAGCATACTTCTACAATATCATTGAATACTGTTTTCTCAATAAACATCACTTAAACTGATGGCAAGTAGTCAGACTCCTATAGAAACGCATTTCAGACACATATTTTTTTTAAATATTGACTAACCAACGGTATACTAAGAGTACATATTTCCGTTTTACTGTATATTAACATTTTGAGTAAGCACGTAACACTTATAACCTTAGGCGAGTACCGTGATAATCTATTTTTGTCGGGAAAATGAGATATGTCTATAGTTTTAGTGCGGCCGCAGGGCATTTTACTGCGTGTTCTAAATCACACTTTACCCTCTAGACGTACTTCGAGGTTATAGTCCTTTGGGGTTAGCCCACTATA